ATGGAGCGTCCGAAAAACGATCATCCACCAAGTAAACCTCGTCTTAATAAATCTTGTTAGTGACATATATTTTCAATGGTTAACGGTTAAAACATATATTTTCCTACCGCGTTAATGAGAAAACTGATCGACAGAATACAAATATCAACATTGACCCAATAAAAGTCCGTTATTTAATCAGTGTCTTACCGGCCCTTCTTGAATCATGTGATATTTAACGGTGTCTTGTTTCCGCTCGCAAATGACGAACTTATAACCGGTTGTGCATTAAAGCGTAAGTTTAAATTTCAACATGTCCGTAGAGATGAAGTTTAGAGTCAAACGTTGAGATTAAGTTAGTAATATTATTTTTACGTTGTGAGGTTGAAAAGATCGCGGCCGCGTGAGGAAAATAAAATAAATTCTGAACAAAAATATTGTTATACTCCATCTAGCTTCATTCTACTGCCAGCTCCCAAAGATTTCTATGCCGGTCTTAAAATATTATGGATCAAGGTTTTCTAAACAGTGTTGTTGGAGATTTACCGCAGTTTCAATGCATTTAGGTGGTTCTTTTCATGGTTTGGAAAAGAGATGACAGTCCAAACATACCAAACCAGGGCAATGGGTCGGAAGAAACAGTACATCGATATCTCAATCATGCATTTGAGACATTGACTCGAGACGTGTGAACGCGAGCTTTATGAAACAACAATTTCTTTCTGCGCAATCCCGACCGTTTCTCTGGATTTCTTGTCGTAAAACTACTTAGATAGGTGCACAAGTATGTGGTATTTATTGTTTTGCCTTTTATACAGTAATCCGCCACAATGACACCCTTAGCGTCCCAAACAAGTCCATTTTTGTTAACGAAAAACATAACCGACATCAAATATCTCGCTACGTATTCTTTTTATAACTAATTGATTTTCAGGAGTTCCCTACGTATCTCTGGAGCCCAAGATCCAATGCCAATGAAATTGATATGTCACCACATGTAAGTCTAATAAAAAAAGAAAACACTCAGTCGAAAGTTCTGAGGTAACAAACATAAAAAAATACAGTCGAATTGAGCACCTCCTCCTTTTTTTGAAGTCGGTTAAAAACTGCTGTTATACCTTGCCAGGCACATTTTTTTTGCTGAGGTATGTTATAATTAATCAGGTAATGTTATAAAAATCCGTGAAAAATCTCTGAGATCAGCTTCAAACATGTCCAAGCAGTCACGAAAAATTTTATTTCGTTTTTGCTCAAATTCAATCCATAATCGGGGATCTACCGAACGAAAAGCTCTTAGTAGATTGATTTGAGTACGTTAATTTGCTTCCGTTCATACGAGATGGTTTATACGGTTATTCCAGAATAGCCAATATCCGGTCTGCAAATATGAGATCACACACTGCCGATGTTTTCTTCAGTCACACACTTCGTGAGGCAGCGCGCCGGAGCGAAGGTTATCTTGAATTCCATCTCGTTTCGTGTATTCTCGTTTTTCTTTGAACCACAAATATTACCAATACAAAAATTGGCCCTGTGTGAACAAAAACCAAATGAACCTATTAATAGTAATAAAATAAAGATAAATAATAATGTTAACATGTGCGGTCGCGAAGCCTTAGTTGAAAATAAAAAAAAATGATAAAGTAAATACGTATACGAAAAGAAACATAAAGACGTTATAAAAATGTACTGTGGTAGGGCCACGCGGCAGCGGCTGTTGCGCGAATGGGCAGGCTCGTCCGGGTAAGTACCACGACCTCACAGAAGACCGGCGTAAAGTGGAAGTATGACAAATACTTTCGCGTTTCGTCTGGTGAGTGAGGAGCCGGAGCCCAATTTTCAAGAGGCTGTCAACGCATCTGGAACCCTCGGGTGTAGCAGATGTCCTTGGGCGGCGGTATTCACTTTAAAGCAGGTGAACCGCCTGCTCGATTGGCAACTTTCACATAAAAAAAAATGAAAAAATATTCGCAAAACAAGAGCATTACCAAATATTTTTCAATGCAGGGAACTTGAGAATGTTACATGAAATTCATTTTTATCGATATTTCCAATTGATAATTAATTGTACTTACGTGATAACAAATTACTACATGGAAATATTTTTACGAATTTATTTTAAATTTTAATTCCGAACCTTAAGAACCATATACAGCGTTCACAGTCACGGGACAGACTAAGGCGTTGGACGTCTAAATGTCATTGCCAAGAGCGGGCTAGCGCCACTTCTTGAATTATTAATTTGGTGTCCAATATACGCAGATGGTGTTAATTGTATCGTGTCTTGCAATAATGGTTCGTTTGGGCCTACATTTATTATATTAATGAACCTATTCTGATGATAGCACCCAACGTTTTTCTCTATTGAAATTCAAAGTCAAAAGAACCAGTGTGCGGTCTGTAAGCTCTTCAATCGCCCCAAACACTATATAAGGACCACAGAGCCTTGTTATAGAACACAGATTCCTATCAATCGCGAGGCTATTGAAGTTATGAGAATTTAGAATAATTCGATCTACAATACCTACATAAAAAACGTCTTACAATCTTTTTTTTTTTTTTTTTTTTCGTGGGGTAATCCATTATGGATACCTGAGCTCCCTGTGAGGGGTAACCCAGATTATGTCGGACTCTCACCGACTAAAACCCCACGTTTGTCGCCAGCTACTCAAATGAGGGGTCACGGGATCTCCTTTCGGAACACTACCGCGGCCCCTCCTTCGTATGGCTTAGATAGCCCCATTCTCGCAGTGCTATATATATTTAGGACTGTACCTGCATCGGTCTGCTGCCTTCACAGCGACCTTTGTGCCCCTGTTGCAGGTAGGGGAGAACCATTATTATTATTATTTAAAGGGCCATGAAGAGATACGCGAGCATGTCTGCGGCCCCGCCTCCGGGTGGGATCCATCCTCTCCCTCTCTCGCTCAGCAGCCTCCTTCTGGACCATTACCTTCTCACAGAAGGTGGATACGGCCGTCCAAGCCGTATCTCCACTCAGCATCACCGACACGACAGCTGGTAGAGAGAGGTCCCGTCCGACTTCGCCCGTTAGGGTAGAGCGTTCCGATTCCCACGCCGGACAATTCGCCAGGTTATGGGATGCAGAGTTCTCATCTCTCCCTCCGCAATGTTTACAGCTCGCGGTCGCCTCCCGCCCGATCTTATACAGATAATTACCGAAACATCCATGTCCGGTAATTATCTGTGTAAGTCTGTAAGTCAGTCTGCCTCCTCGTTGATCCATCCAGGCTTCGAATACCGGCAGGAAAGCTTCAACAACGCGTTTGCGCGCATAACGCTCTTCACAGAGCCGAGCGCGCCACGTTGCTAATGCGTTCTGCCGTTCCCGCTTTTTAATTAGTTGGAACGCCTCTTCTGGCTCGTTTCCACCGTCTTGGCGCAGGATGCGGAGTCGATTATACACCCGTGCATCCATGGCAGCCAGTACGTCCAGAGGTGGGAACCGAGCCAAGATCGTCGCCGCCTCGAAGGATACAGTTCTATATCCACGTATGATTCGTATTGCTATCCTTCGCTGGATACTGTAAATTTTAGATCTACAGCGACGAATAGCAAGTCTACTAGCCCATACGGGCGCCCCGTATAATGCAATGGATCGCACGACCCCTGCGTAGAGGCGACGAACCTCCTCTATCGGTCCCCCAAGATTAGGCAGTATCCTGCACATGGCACCAGCTACCTTCTCGATCCGGGGGACTAGGCGCTTAAAATGTTACTCAAAGCCCCAGCGACTGTCCAGATGAAGTCCCAGGTACTTCATGAACCTTCCTACTCTGACTTCAGTTCCACCTACATGGACGTAAGAATCGGGTGGTTCCCTGCTTCGAGGCAACTTGTGAAACCATAACGCCTCGGTTTTATGTGGGGCTATTTCCAATCCGAGCTCGTGGATCTTATCAATGAGTCTTTGCACTCCGAGCTCGGCGAGGTCCTTGGTCCCCTCAAAGGTATTCCCGCTAGCGATAACTAGTGTATCATCTGCATAACAGACGACATTTACCTTAGCATGGAGATCGACACGCAGGACTGCATCATAGGCGATGTTCCACAGTAACGGGCCTAGTACGGACCCCTTTGGAACACCACGCTGGATCTCCCTCTGGATCTTCCTGCCGTCTTTATCCTTGTATGAAATATACCTGTCGCGCAAGTAGTCCGCGATAACGGCTTGCAAGTAGATGGGCACTTGATGGTGTGATAGTCCCCCCTTGATTGCATCCCAGGGAATTGAATTAAATGCATTGACGATATCTAAACTTATCGCCAATGCAACTCCACCCTGGGAGACCACCTGCTCAGACAAGGAGCGAACGCGCATTATAGCGTCTATAGTTGAACGCCCCTGTCTAAAACCAAACTGGTTTTCTGCGAGATCGGGACCGACGCGCGACAGGTGGCTGTTAAGACGAGTGGCAAGTATCCTCTCGAAAAGCTTGCCAATCTCGTCCAAGAGGCATATGGGACGGTAAGCAGAGGGAGATTCTGCAGCTCTACCTTCTTTCTTAAAAAGGACCAATTTAGCTTCCTTCCAGGCCGTAGGGAACTTGGAATATCGGAGGCAGCTGGTGAACAACCGACGCAATCTTTCTCCTAGGATATTAAGACTCAATACCCACACCCGACCAGGGACTCCGTCTGGTCCTGGAGCAGTGTTCCGGGCACTCAGGCGATTAACAGCACGGTCTAGCTCCGACACAGAGACTTCCATCTCTGTCTCCCACTCCCATGCGTTAATATGGTGGACTGAGCGACTTGACCACTCTGCCGGAAAAAGTGTGTTGACCACTTCCCCCAATAAGGCTAGATCTAGGGTTTCCGTTATGGGAGGTGCCCAGGGTTTGAGCTTTCCTAGCACGATCTTATATGGACGGCCCCATGGATTCCCGTTTAGCTCCTCTAGGAGTTCTGCCCATGATCGAGATTTGGCATCGGAAATTGCTCTCTGCAATGCTTTTGTAGTCGCTCGGAACGCCGTGTACAGTCTAGCTTTTTCTTCAACCGGTGCCCTTCTTGGTCTCCGGGCTCTGGAGTACTGGCGTCTGCACCGCAAACAAACGGCGCGAAGTCTAGCGATTTCTGTTGACCACCAGTACACAACCCTGCTTCGGCGGCGACTGATGCGAGGCATTGATGCACCGCAGACTTGCGTCATTGTACCCCGAAACCAGTCTGCTTCCTTTTCCGGGTCGGACGGAACATCTTCATAATTTTCCGGCCAAGTTGCAACAATGGCGGCAGCTTCAAGCATGTCCCGGTCAAGGCGCTTGAGACACCAACGTCGCGGTGGGCTACCATCACGATGGCTGGGGAAATTAACCTGTCGACGTAGTCTAATATCAAACACTATGTGGCGATGATCCGATAGAGTAACTATTCCTTCTGCCACTCGCCAGCCCGATACATACGGTATTGCAGAAGAAGTTGCCCATGTTAGATCCACGACCGACTCCCCTTGCCATCTCACGCATGTGCTAACACACCCCTGATTTAGCAGTCGAAGGTCAAGTCCTGCTGCCCATGCCATGATAGCTTCCCCCCTCGGACTATCTCTAGGATTTCCCCATGCTCTAGCGTGAGCATTAAAGTCCCCTAGGACAATCGTAGGGCGAGGTAGGCACCTGCGAACACAATCTGTCAACTCATCCAGATACACTTCGTAATCGGTGAGTGATGTATTCGGAGAGAAGTAGCAGCCAACGAAGGCAGCCATTGTACTGCAACAAAACCCCGCCCCCTTTTCAATAGAGTGCAGGGTGGAACATCCGGTCCGCAAAACCATAAGATGGTGACAGAGCTCAAGTCATCGCCGAACCAGTGGGGATGGTTAGGCACAACATAGGGCTCTGCGACTACTGCAAGGGCAACCTTCCGCTCCACAATAGTTTGCATAAACAAGTTTTGTGCCTTGCGGCAGTGGTTTAGGTTACCCTGTATGACTTTCAGGGACGGGTATTTTTTGCCTCAGCAACCTCCATGACCGAGTTAGTACTCGGTTCCGCAACTGGTGCCACTTCACTCGTCCTGCTATTTGACTTAAGCAAAGGACAGGATTGGTTGCTTTTCCTCTCCTTTTTATTTGGGATTGAACATCGCTTCCCTAATCGATGTCCAGAGGGCCGCCCCAAATCCGAGCATAGAGGACACTTAGGAGTTTTTGCGACACACTCTTTGGCCCTATGCCCAGGTTCACCGCAGATATAACAACGAGAGCTACGATCGACATGATTTGGACACTTGCTCCCAACGTGGCCTATTTCGAGGCATCTGTAGCAATGTAGGGGTCTGGCCTCTAGCAAGTCCACTCGGGCGGACCCCCAACCCACCTTGACTGTTTTGGCGGCTGCCAACTTTCGTACAGCCGTAATGGGACATCGGTCCCTTTTCTTCTTCCGCTTAGGTTTCGCTGATTTGGGCAACGGCTGCACCGACTTAGTAGAGACCATATTTGTCGTTCCCAATGGCTGCTGATGCGTGGCACCCGGGAATAATCTGGCCCCAAAAGCAGCCAGCTTACTCTCAACCAAGGCGCCAATGCGTTCCATCATCTTCTCCTCGTCGCTCATATACTTTGGACCTGATGGCGTATACTGAGCATAAGAGTGAGTCTTACTAGCTCGTTCTTGGGTCTGTTTACGGAGGTGTTTAATTTCTTCCGTAAGTTTCTCCATCCGTCCGGCAAGGCTGAAAAGCTGTGAACGTAGTTCAGCGTTTTCTTTTTCAAGTTTTGCTACAATTCCGTTAGCACTGGACCTCCTAGCAAGTTCATTAGCTGCAGCTCTCACGCTAGTGACAGCCGACCTTAAACCACGGACGAAACACCCTTTTAAGTTGCGGGAACGATCTGCAACTTTTTCAATCTCTTGGAGTTGAAAATCTATGTGACTTTCAATCATTCTGTTGCTTTGAGATTTCAACTCCAGTCCTAACCCTTCCGGGTTAGGTAAGGTTGATTTTAACTTTATACCAGACAGGTCCTGGGAATCCTCCTCAGTATCGTGCCCGTCTTCCTTGTCTTCCCCTTCTGTGGCTGTGGCTGAAGCAGAGGCTACCTTAACTACTGCTTTATAATTAGCGGCCACTGTGTCCCCACTCGGAGCCTTAGCTTTCCTTTTTCGAGTATCTTCGGAAGTAGCCGAAATGCGGGAAACCTGAGAGCCATCAGACTCACCTTCAGCTTGACCGTCTATTGTGCATGGGCGTGCTAAGCGCCCCAGTCTTCCACGTTTTCCACGTGAGCTACGCGCTGGGACCGGTGCGTTACCAGGCACGGCTCCTTCCTCCCTGTGATCCCCGGTTCTTAGGGGATCCATGGACGATGCCGATGCATCGCCGTAAAGCAGTGTGTTGCCCCCCCAGATACGATGGGGCTGCCTAGGCTAGACCTAGGGGTGGATTCTCCGGCTTCGCCGGTACCACCCTGGGGTAATTTGTTATTACCCACTGCTTGCATGTTATCCTTTTTTTTTTTTTTACTAGGGTTTGGTCTCTGAAATAACTCCCTCCCCCCCGGAGCGCTTGGGACTGGTTTCCCACCAGCCATTCACCCGTCGGCACGCTTGACCTTAGGGTTGGGGGATTTTTTATAGAGGTTACCTTCCTCTCGGCCACTCGTGGCCCCCGCTCCCGAAGGTTTACGGGTTGTGCGGCGTCGGTGAAATCCGAAATGCACCTGGCACATCGCCCTGGCAAATCGCCGCACTTGTCACGTCCATTGTTCTTTCTTGTAGAAAGAAGCAAGGAGTGACAAAGAGCCTTAAAGGCCCACCTCGTAGGCAATCCTTCACAGGATTCCCTCTTGGCCGTTTCTCGAATCGCAATAGATTCAAGGGTACGCCCCAAACCCAGCCAGTTTTGGTCCACGACGGTATTTCGCTACCACCATATCTGGGTGGCATTCCCCTATCCGCCACCTGGGGACGCGCCCGATGGGAGATCTGGCAACTCCTCACGGGACGTCTTACAATCTTGTACAACATTAACAACTGAAAAGTATTTAACCTACTCAGGTACGGCGAGTCAATAATAAGTTCGTTTATTACTTTGCATAGAATAATTGATCTCTGTTTTTAAGGGCCTATTTAAAGTTGAAAACTGATGTTGTTTGAAGTTTTTTAACTTATAACGAATTCTCTTTAGAAAGATTTTCCGAATAGTTCCTATAGCGTTAATATCGATATTTACTGAACCTTCTAAACTGCTAATGCGAATCTATTCTAAATGGGATCATACAAACGAATTATATCTAATCATCAATAGCTCTGGATTTTCAGTCCTTGGTTTGGCGCAAAAATAAATCTCAAAATATTATAGCCTTTGGCTCTCTGAGAAAAAATGGAAGCTTCTTATCTTTATTGCACATTGTATATTTTGTACGCCTAGAACGTACTTCAATGATTTGACGCTGACGTGAAAAGTATTCTTGACGTCAGTTTTGCCCGTGGTAGGCAAAAGGTCCGTCTGGGTACCACGACCTCACATAAGACCGGTGTGAAGTGTAGTATTCTGCTTACGTCTGGTGAGTGAGGTAGCCGGGCCCACTTTATTGTAGTGGCATATTTACAAACCTACGGGTCTCGCAAACGTCAATGGCCGGCGGTTATCACTTAACATCAGGTGTACCGCCAGCTCGCTTGCCACGTTCTCACATAAAAAGTCTACTTGAAAGGAATTTTAAAATCGTTTCATAAATGATGGGTTCTGAGGTAAAAAACATAAAAAATACAGCCTATTTGAGATCCTCCTCTTTTTTGAAGTAGGTAAAACCGTTTTTATTCATGAAACAGTTTTAGACCAAACAAATTCTTTTAGAAAAATCGAACTCGTAAGCTACATATAAATTAACATCGAGTGTTCATTGTAGCACGAATAATATTCAAACTAACGTTATTGAAAATTTCGAACGTTGCTTTACATCCGAATTTCCCGCCGTAATCCGAAGTGACATTTTCGCTTCGACCACGCCGCGATGCCCTGACGTTTATCCGTAAATATCACAAAACACTTTGTTTGATTTACGGCGTTCGCAAATTGTGCCAAATTATTTGTTCAAACATTCGCACTGAACCATACGTATTACGACAAACGGAATATTGTCACGATTCTCATTGTTGGGCAAATATTGCGGAGCCATTGCGACGAAAGCGTTGAAAATTGTTTATTAAATGGAAGAACGGCTCGGTGGAAAGTCGATGGCCGGTCTACGAATATCTTTTATAATTTTAACAACAATACGCTATAAAAATCACGGCATTAGCTCGGTTTTAGTTTTATAATGGCCAGCGTAATTGTTGTAATGGGAAATTGAAGTTTCACCCCATTGTTCAGTCTTTGGTTGGACGACATTTGTTATGCAGAAATACGTATTTATAATTACTTAACTATTGTAGCATATTAAGTGGCAGTTAAAAATTATTTTATGAAATATTATGAAAAAGCACATTTACAGATTTTTTATATTTTTTCTATAGACTTATTTTTGACGTAAAAAATTAATTACATTCGTGGACAAAAATTACTTTTAACTTCCGGTGCAAACTTCGTCAACTCCGGTTGCTTTTCTGTAGCTTTTTTCTGGTTATAAGAGCATTTCCACTTATTTACAATTATGAGAATAATCAACAATAAATAAGATATAATGAACAATGAAGTTTAGATATATATAATAGAAAACAATAAGGACGTACGTATTAAAAAAAAACAATAACATAATACGGTCTAACCAGCTTTCAGAATAGAATTCCAGCAGGATTATATCATTTAGAGACCATTATGATTACTTACAATACTTGTATCAATGCACTTGGCTTTATTTCACGATGTTATAAAGGTTTTCGTACCCATAAATCATATGTTAGTCATATTTTAATTCGTAGCAAACGGGAGTACTGTAATACGGAACGTGTACTGTCCGGTTCGTATAGATCGGCTCGAAAGTACCCAAGCAAAATTTTTCAGAACTCTTTCATTTCGCCTGGTAATGAAGCGTATCCTCGCATCTTATACAGAAAGGTGTGCCAATTTTGGTATGTCTACTTTACAAATCACAGGGTGATGATTGACATGTTGACGTTTAATAAAATTCTGAGAGGTAACTTGAAAATTAAACTCCTTAAAAATGTAGATCTCATGTACCCTTGCGCTATTTAAGGAATTGTGAATCGTACCAACGTAACTTACAATAAACCTCTATCTAGAATTAGCCATAATCACAACTCCCTAGTCCTGAAACATCTAGCTGGATAGTTTGGATGACAATCTCTTCATATTGAAACCGAGATTGAAGGAAGCCTTAACGGTTCATGATCTTGTAACTCTATTACACTGTTTTAGTTATATAGTTATTAGTTTTAAGATTTATACCATGTTTGATCACACATACTTATTTTTTGTTACTTTTCTAGTACCATATATTTTCATGATTGTCTTTTTTTTTGCTATCGTTTCATACTTGGAATGTCACCTGATTGTTATAATAATATTTAAAAACGTAGAATGACTACGCATAGTGATGCTATGAAAAAATAAATAAATAAAGTACCTAGTTCGTTAAGGACAAGTCTAAGGCTAATTATTTTAAATGCAGATATTCTTACAATCTTTTCCGGCGAGTAGTAGACACGAACCGAATTTCAAAACACGAGAACACTTAAAGCAACTAACATGCAGTACGGATTTTAGTGGCAACGCATCTTCATAAATAGGATTACTACGGACGTTATTCATAGCATATAAGTCTGACATATACGAACACATGTATTTATTAACAGAACTTATCTCGCTATATCAGCTATCACGAGTCGCGTTCAATTAAATTAGTGGTCGTCAATTTAATGCACGCGTCAAAGGCAAATTCTAATTGCGGAGGCTAACAAAGCAGAAGCAACTGCAATTATGCACCCTGCATTCGTCAGCGGAACATATTTTTGTACGTGGAAGCCACTTAGCGGATGGGCAGATGAAATTAAATAACATGATATCTTTAGAGCAAAATATAATCACGAAATTAAACGACCTGCTACTGCAACTACTATGTTTTTGTTGGTATAGTTTTAATTTATTATGTTCTTATGCTTTAATAAACATGTGTAAGCTTTAAACCATTTTAAAAAGTCTCCTGATAACACGAGTTGATACGGCAGACTTGAAAAATGCTTAGCTTTAAAAACTTGTAAAAATTATTTTTGGGATGTTAAGAAATATTTTTGCTAAATACTTTTTATTAGAAATCTTTTTAGCAACGTATACAGTAATACTATTTACTTGTTATATTTGTTATATTGAGACTTTTTACATGAGATAGAATGAATGAATAGATTTTTTATAATAATCAAACATAGTAATTTATGAATATATGTCAATTTTATAAAATTTAATTAATTGGATGTTTAACATTACTTTCATCAATTATATGTATCTGAGCGTGACGGTCACAACATGAATTCGGTGTTTAAAATTCAAAGTTTAGGCATAAAGAAGTTTTCAAATTAAAATTTTTAAAAGAGTTTCCGCTTTGACACCGAAGGGACAGTTAAATTTATTATAAAATTGAGGTGGTCTTTAAATATGTAAATATGAAATAGGAAATACTTTTTCAGAACTTATTTTTACACAACGTTAGCTGTCCTAAACTAGGCAAATCCTGTGCAATGGGTACTAGGTAATTAATAAATATACTTGTCTTTTGTAAATAAATACATATTACTACAGATATATGAATAGCCAGACAACAGAAAAACATTGTGATCACCACACAATATATATCCAGTGGTGGGGATCGAACCCACTTCGTCTGGCGAAAGAGACGCTATCCACTACGCCAATCGCGTCGTCAATGTGCTAAAGTGAAATCGATCTCAAACGATGCAGACAGAGTTAATAAATCTAGGGATATGCACAATGGCAATTCGTCTCACTTGTTATGAGGCCGGACCGCTTCCGCCACCGCTCCGCTAGTGTCCTGTGTCCTTAGACTGGGAACTGGCATGACCCACGGGGGCAAATTGTAGGTGTGATTACACACTGTTAAAGTTTGCTCCAGTGCGCCGCGATTGCCGGGGCCCGCTTTACCACTGGCACTCCGTAACGCGCTTTAAAAAAAACTTGCTGTCAGCCGTGAAAAACAATAGAACAATGTGTACCCGCCAAATGTGAATTCATTCGAAACTTTAATTATCTTTCTTTTTTAATGTTTGATAGATTTTTACGCATGTTGTGTTTAATCTGTGATTTTTAAGGTTGCACCGAAAGTGTGATACTTTACGTAGTTAGTAATTAAAACGTAAGTAATGTTTTTTTCTTAGTTTTCTATAACTCCATTTAAAATCGAATATAATACTATATATGCTTATGTTCATGTGATAAAGAACGTGTAGAATAAAAATATAAAATTACATAAAAAAGACATGTCAAAAAATTTAACTACGTATTTTATGACGGCAAATTACATGAGATAAATTACTTAAAGATATGTTAAACATAGCATGTGTTATAACTCGATATGTCATCGCAAATCCTCGTCTGAAGACATCTGTGTTACTTGAGTCAATTGAGCTACACATTACACCCAACCATAAAGGACCTATCGCATTTCTGCCAAATAAAACTCGGTTACCTAATTGCCAAAGAAAACGATTCAGCCGGATAGTTCAAGTTATACTGGCCTTTTTAGCTCTCCAACACTCATGTGTGTATAACTCTGATTCCATGTTTCCGCTCAATGCCCCATACCGTTCTTGAAGTTAATGCATTTTGAACCCTAAATCAAGTGAGCGAAAGACCGAAATTTCGATGGGGAAATTATTCACGCACCATTAGAAAAGGAAATAGATTTTAAAAGAAATAGCTCTCTGTATAAAAATGTTGTAGTAATGCTCTTAAAGGTGCATTGAACACTACAAAAAATAACACATTAAGACTAAAGTCAATAAATTGGGAATGAAAAAAATAAACGTTCGGAAAATACATTTAAAACTGAAAAATACATTAGAAATAAGTATAAACTGAAATGCCGAAATACGTTTAAAACGCTCCAAAAGATTATACTAACAATTTAACACTAATTTCCTAACCACGTCATCATTAATTAATTATGGGTAAAGTAATCTGCAAGCCATTAGGCATAATAACTAAGCGATATAGCATCTGTTATTTTACAGAATGCTTAAGTGAAAACAAGTCTCTTAATTTCTAAAAAAGTTAAATTTGATGTTTTCTATGACCTTCGAAGTGTACCATAATAACATTTCATATTGAAATTCAAATTAAAAATTTCTTTATTCAAATTGCGCGTTCTTATGAAACGTCGAACTTTACATAAAAACTAATATATAAGTTCGTAAGGTACCACAGCACCGGTTCGGAAAGCAGTTTCTGTTGAAAAGAGACCGGCACGAAACTCAACAGTTGCTCTTTTTCAAAAATATCAGTTTACAATATAACATACAGTATGACCTATTTACTTTTTGGAGACGAAACAATGTTGTAGGTATTTAATTTGTCCCATTTATATAAATATATAATGAAAAAATGTGTTCGAAATCAATCAAGTTACTGTATCATTTCATTACAGATAAATGACATTAATCGAGCAGAATGAAACTGACGTGGCACAGAAGAAGGATAAACTTAATTGCAATTATGATATTTTGTGGAACAGCTGATGTTGAAAGCAGCCTGCCGGTTGATTTGGCATCTGAGGAGAAAGGTTGATATTGATTAATTTCCTATTAGTTGCTCCTACATTTATACGTAATATTTCCGATAAATAATATTTATATAACTTAAATACTAATTTCAAGAATCTATTTGTTTAACAAGTTTTGTATTTTTTTTAAATATTGTATACCATACCCATTTAATAAGGATAGTAAAAGATAGAAAAGTAAATAGTAATAGGTTTTGTGGTGGCGCTTTTTACACACGAATTATATAGGAAACTAGCGGACTAGTTATGTGTATATAATCCAGGTAGAAGTGACGATAATACAAATTGAAACCAAACCATACTTCCATACTAATATTCTAATGCGAAAGTAACTGTCTGTAATCTGTCTCGCTTTCACGCCAAAACTACTGAATCGATTTAAATGAAATTTGGTACACAGATAGTCTAGAACCTGAGAAATCCATGGCATTCATTTTCTATAAACTATCCCAACAATGCCATCTAATTTCTATATTACCCCCGTACCATTTTCTGAGTTGCTTTTATTATAACTGTTTCCTTGCATTGTTTCCAGCGATACCGCAGACAACCGTGACAATATCAACGACGCCATTGAGCATCACAACCGCAAATATTTCGACCTCTACCTACGCCACCATTATACCACCGATACCACCCAGCGACAGAGACCGCTTCCTCACGTTCGCCGAATCTGGCCATCATCAAACGTTCATGTTCGCCAAAGACAACACATTTATACAGTTAGACGGGGATATCATTCAGAGGTTCCAGTTGAGGTAAAAATACGCATTGTCTTTATAGCATAGCATGAACTAGCACTGGTATTTAGTAAGAGCTGTATCAATGGAATGAAGCACTGAGATCTCACATTGGACTGAGATAAGTGAGATTTTTTCTTATATAGAAGGTGGCGGCTGACCTGATGTTAAGTGATAACCACCGCCCTTAGACATTTGCAACACCCGTAGAGTTGCAAATCCTTTACCACCTTATAAAAGTGGGCTCCGGCTACTTCACTCACCAGACGAGACGCATAAATAAAACACTTCTACTTCATTCTGGTCTTCTGTGAATTCGTGGTACATACTTGGACAGACCTACCCATTCCCGCAACAGCGAAGACAATTGCGTGGCTCAACCACAGACACAGATAGGAGGACTTTGGTATTGCTGATGCTTATAAACGAAGGCCATAAATAGCCGTCATATAAAAATGCTGTTACAAATGGAATAGCGATCGTGAATCAGATTACAGATGGAACTTCAAGTGAATCATTTTAGTCACTAACGAAGGAACGATTCTTTTTAATTTGAATCAATTAAACCTTCCTAGCATCCACTTCCACTAGTAATTGATAAATTGAATTTAAATTCAATGTCATTCAATAATTAATATGAAGATTCTTATTTCTGACAACGAAACGTTTGAGTGTTACTTTGTAAAAATCTGCTGTAAGACGTGAAACTAAACGACTGCTTTTACTGTTTTTAGATTATGCAGAGAAATATCGTTTAAGTTTCGAACAAGGCTACCTCATGGACTCTTAGTGTATCATAACGTTAAGAATCCAGTATTCAAGATGCAACCCTATGCTCTGTACGTCATTGTCGAGAAAGGAGAATTGAAAGGTAAAATAATAAAGTGATAGTTGTTTATGCGACATTAATAAAAGCAAATCGTAAACTACAATCTATTTCCGTACATTACCTGTTGTTACAACAACAAATAAAAAAAAGAAAACTTTGCATATTGACATATAATATTTATATAACCAATAATTATATAATAACTAATTGAACAAAAGGTGACTTGATAAGATATTACTGAAATGTCACATCATTCACTTCAAATCAAAATATTCAAAGAACTGATTCAAATCAATTTATTTTCGAAATAATATTTTAAAAAATAAGCAGGGGACTATCGACAGAAGTGCAAACTTAATAAACGTTAATAATTAATTTGAGAAATTAATTTTTTAACGTCATCAACCTCAATGCCAAAACACGGGACATTAGTATATCGTGGATGTGAACCTATGAATTATCTCCAACCATAATTGCTCAAGGCGCCTATAAAAAAATTTACTTTAAAAATATTTCGAAGTTAGGTCGCGGACCAGTTCAGGCTAGGGTCGCGTGGTGGACCGTGCCCTAATACCCTCTGTACATAGGAGGCCGTGGCAGCAGTGGGACATACATAGACTGTTACTTCACTTAACAAGGAACCGTCTTACGAATTCCAGTCGTCCACGTGTTTGGCAAACATCTCACATCGGTGACGGTGGGACGTGCGCTGAACAGAGACGAATGGCACAGCGTGGTAGTCACCATTGACGTGCACGGCGCAAGGCTGATCGCTAAAGTAGACCAACTCAAGGAGGAAGTATATCTAAAAGTAAGTCGGGTAAAACTCAACGCCAACATGTGTCAAAGATTAGCTGACAGTATGATCAGTGTAAATGTGCCAAGAATAATACAGGATGTGCAAATAAAAATGTAAAAAAATCCATTATAATATAAGTTAATTAAATAATAAAATAAGTTTCGGAACCTTCCGGGAGATGCAGGTTCGGAATCCGCAGTACCAAAAATTTTTCCCATTTTTCTACAAAAATATAATTTTTAGTGGATACACTAGCACTGAATGTAAAATGGGAAATTATTTTTAAAACTGTAATCTAAACATTCGGGAATATACTTTGATGAGTTGAAAAATTTTATTTTTCGGCGTTGGTAAATTAGTGCGACAGTAAAACATTAAAAAAATGTACAAACTCGTTTATATAAAAATCGAACAGTAACCACGACGCTGCTTTTTGTAGGCAAAATGAATTCTTATTAAGTTTTTGTTGATGGCTCTGTTGATGCAGTTTCTTACCTATAGGCTGCGGTGATTCTGGGTTCGATTCCCATCGGCAGGTTTTTAATTTAGTTTCAAATTTTTGATCGGATAGTTTATGTGTAATATTCGCATGCAAAACGGCATCACATTATAATGTTTGATACAAAAATGAAAAGTATAGTAACAAACTGGGACTCATTTTAAAAATGTTAATCTAAATAGTTTTATTATTAATGATTGTTTTCGCATATTTTTGTACGTTATCCTGGTCGTTAGAAAGCCAATATTCTATCTATATCTGTAAAGCTATCTTCAAATACGGTGGATCATTATTAAATATCTTTCTTTTCAATCATATTTTGTATCCAATTAATATATAAGTTTATTGTGGACAAAAATAGAGACAAAAGGAAAATTCGAACAGTATATTAAAATTCTTTTATTTTTTGCTTTACCATGCAGGGTTTGAGTTTCGATACCAATTACGGTATTACGGACAATCTGACTTCAGTAATTCTAATTGGAGGTAAGTTAATACTTTGTTATAATATTTCTCACTCGACTGTATATAAGTAAAACAGGAGTAATTAAATTGTAATGAATAAACGACATATGCAACAAATTGATATTCTCAACTGTGGCAGGACCACGCAACTGTCTTCGCTGTTGCACGAATGGGCAGGCCCGCCCGGTAAGTACCACGACTTCACAGAAGACCGGCCTGAAGTGGACGTGTTACACTTCTGCGTTTCGTCTGGTGGAGGAGGTAACCGTTGCCCACTTTATTAAAAGGTGGCGACGCATCAGCAACCCTATGGGTGTTGCAAATGTCCATGGGCGGCGGTTATCTCTTACCATCAGGTGAGCCACCAGCTCTCGCTTGCCATCCACTCACATAAAAAACTTGTTACTTTCGTTTGTTGAGCCACGGAGCGCCGAAATATTCTGCTATTGAACAAAAACGATCTACTTATTTATAACATGGCTCCTTCAGTGATAATGCATCTACTGTATACTACAAAAATCTTTACCCGGGTTAAAATTCGCAAAATCGTTTCATGAAACGACATGAAATTTTCGCGTTATATTAAATACAAGATCGTTTATTAACTTCTTTATTAAATTATGTTTTATTATAAAAACACTTCAGTCACAGGCGAATAAATTTATTTCCAAGTTCCAACAAATACAAAATACAAAATACAAAATAACTGATAAGAAACTGGCGTCGTCGTCTCGATTATGTTGAAGTATAAAATTGCTACATTCGGACTCAAATAGTCTTATTTGTGCCCGAATGTAGCAATTTTGTTCTAGACTTAACGAAACCAAAGTCAAAATTGACGGGTCTTTTATTGCTATATATATAGTGATCAATTATAAGTACCTATACAATATATTTTATGAGCAGTAATTAAATACATTATTGACTGTTTCGCTAGGATTGATATGGCTGGCATTATAAGTTCCTTTTCATAAAGCTGTACACATTACCGTAAATTAATTGGAGAAGTTGATAAAAAACATGTTTTCAATAAATATTGCTATTAAGCTAAGCAATATTATTAAGGTAATTAATAATAAATTACACTTTTAGTTATAATGTAACGTTTGTTCCCTAGGCAGAAAATTCAATTAATTTTTTTAAAAGTTAATATTGAAATCGGGGAACGGAGACCTTATTTATATTACCTTGTATTTTTTTTACAATGTAATATAAATAAGGTTGACGCAGTCGCTAAGTGAGCACGGAATAAGTACCTATTTCATATTATTATATCTACGAGTTTACAGGTTTAAACGATTTCTGTACATACAGCCATTAGTTTTGTTGATGGTGTTGTTACTTCACTACATAGTATAAAACATAGTCGTCCCGCAGTTTGTCTGTTCCTATGTTTGCTTATATCTTTAAAACTACGCAACTACAAGATAGAGTGATTCAAGAGGAAGGTTTATATGTATAATACATTGGACCCGTACGAAGCCGGGGCAGGTCGTTAGTAAATTATAATTTATGATATTTTGAAACAGATATTTCATTTTCATATCCGTTTATGACAATCAGATAGCAATATAAATTGTATAAGTAAGTGTAATACATAAAATAAGATTCTTATCTAAGGTAAACTATTACATATATCATAATATATAAAGTACTATAAATATGTCACTTGTGTAATAATTCGAATCTGGATTTTTGTTCTTGTTTAATTTGTATTTGCAAAACTTCTCTATATCTCAGAATTATGTTATCATTTAGTACGGGTGATGTATCAAATTCGGTTTGTATCAATAATGTGAATCTACACTTATACCTATTGCAGGTTTGAGTTCAGAAGAGAAACTGCACGGAGTGAAATACATTATAGAATCATTCGTCGGATGCATTAGTGATATGGTTCTTAGTTCGGGTAAGGCGGCGTCAGACCTGCTACCGATAGTTCCACTGATCGCCACAAAGCATGAGAACGTGAAAGAGGGCTGCATAGACAAATGTAGAACTGTCGAGAACCTATGCTTCGAAGGTTCTAGATGCATCAACGAATACAACGGTTACCGATGCGATTGTTTCGGCACTTTGTACGAGGAGCAACTTTGCGATGTTTTCAGTGAGTTATCGAGGCGTTTCATTGTTTTTTCCTTGTCACTCCTCTTAGTGATCTACATTTCTAAAGGTCGCGTCTGAAGTGTTGATCACCTGTGTCGGGCCTCGTGTTCCTAATGGCTTTGATTTGATAAACAACCAAAGCGTACGCGACAGAAAACGACAGTTTTTGTGTCACAGAACAAAACTCTACTAGGGTATGTATATTCAGAAGATACCCTAGTATTAGGTTATCCCTGTGGTAAAAGGTGTCTGCTGCGTTCATGGAATTTGTATCACTTTAGTTGACCCACGAAGTAGTCTAGTTGAATCTATTTAACCAAGGTTGACCCTTTCCTAAAGCATACTCATATGTAGGAGGGGCACGAAATACGTAACTCAAACATAAATCAAAATGTTAGCTGCAATTATGGTTTTTAATTAGAATTGGAAATATGTCGTATTGTTATATTATTTTACTGTTTATATGTGTTGATATAGTAAATTAATATTTCTATGTCTAACGCTAAAAGGCTTTATCTTAATATTAAAAATAATTAACATTGTAGTTCAATTTAGATAAAAGAGATACTTATTAGAAACGTCCCAATAATGTGTTATCGTAATGATAATTTCATTTGCTTATTGCAATCAACGGGACATCACAACTATTATAATAGCATAGTACACAATAAAGACATCTATTCACCACAGAGCCGTGAAAGCTTAGAGTCCGGCGCTCGCCTTTAATTGAATATACTCGAGCAACCTGAATTCCATCCCTGTTGCCAGCACATATGAAATTAATAATTTTAAGGGCTGACTTATCAAATACTCAGCGGTGAAGGAAAACATTGTTAGGAAAACTGCATATTTTCTGATTAATAACAATAAAGAATATTTCTAAAGTATGTGAAGTCCGCCAATCCGCAGTAGGGTCGTGTGGTGGACTATGACCTGATATCCTATATACAGAGGAGGCCTTTGCTTAGAATTGGGATGTACATAGGGTGTTACTTTACTTATCTTTTTAAACAAATATTATAATTGTTATTAATAAATTTAGTTAATCTCAACGTTTTGCCGATTCGATTTAGGTTCAAATTTCCGTGAATGCGACGAATTAAAGACCCAATCGCTCTCTCCGCCTTAATGTACAGCCGCCCTAATCCTCTTCGCCCACTTTCACAAATAATTGTAAGCGCTTTATGATATTTTTTTTTCGATTACGTCATCGTTTATTATTGCAGCGGCGACAGTTTTAACGTTGCGAGGCTCGAGTTACGTGTCTTATCGGGTTTACGATTGGAAAGACCGGGTCCACTCCACCAACACGCGAGTCAGCCTGCACTTTAAGGTAAAACCTTTTTTGTTTTTAACAGTTGTCACGTAACGCAATTACATGGTGGCTGGCCGGTGCGAAATTAAAAGAAAACGACAAAGATAAGTATCGGGTTTGCACAAAACCGCCGCTAACGAATTGCGAATGTTGGCGATACTGGCAGGCCGGCAACGGTTTTTACCACATGCAACAAGAAGATAAGGTCTGACTTCGAAATTCAAACATATGAACAAACGACATTTATTTGAGACAATTCTGATTGCTTATTCGTTAGCAATGCGTGAAATGCCAGTAGAAAGTATGAAACACAATCAAATGTAGATGTCCACCCGAAGACGTCAGTGCAGACAGACGGTGGTAGGGCCACGCAGCATCCTCGGCTGTTGCACGAATGGGCAGGCCCATTCGTGTAAGTACCACGTCCTCACAGAAGACCAGCGTAAAGGGGAAGTATGACAAATACTTTCGCGTTTCGTCTGGTGAGTGAGGTAGCCGGAGCCCAATTTTCAAATGGCTGTCAACGCATCTGTAACCCTCGGGTGTGCCAGATGTCCATGGGCGACGGTATTCACTTAACATCAGGTGAACCGTCTGCTCGTTTGACAACTTTTCGCATAAAAAAAACTTTGAATTTTAAATGTAATATATTGGAAGCATTATACTGGACGATTCGGAGGTATTTGTTAGCAATGCTTGCATTTAAATGGATGCAAAAGTATGTATACTCGTCGCCACTACGACTAATATATGGACTACTAATATATGGATAAAACTTTTGGACTTTTTTTTAAAAAAGAGTTCTCCACTCCTTAGGTAAACAAAGTTACTTAGTACTAAGTAATTCACAAACATACATAAACATACGTAATATGTCACACACAATACTCTTCTAGTAATACCCGCACCCTCCGACGACAGAGATAGGTTCACTATCAATTGCCCCAATGGGGTTATCAAGATGTTGCTCGATTTTATGTATGTATCGAAAAACGTATCACGCACGAACGGTAAGGACGTAAAAGGGATTTTTATGAAAGATAATCATATACATAAACGGTACGCAGTTGCAATCCCGGAGCGAACATTACGCAAATTGTCTGCACGCATATAGAATGAGAAGGAGAAATGGTAGCTTTTACATTATTTATAAGTCCCGGAACGACACTATGCTATCGCCGGTTTTTTCCTGTACCATTCTGTCTTATACTTTTCTTTTTCTTATTGAATCTTTTGTTGCGATTCGGTATACAATGGAAATTATACAATATCAGAAGAATATTTAGAAATCAAAAAAGTAATATCCTGTCTATGTGTTAGTACAGATTGTGTCATGAAATCTTGCGAATCAAAATCAATTTATCTTTAGTTCTTCTAAAGATTAATTCACCTCAAATTATCTTAATATTCACTAATAATATTCATTTTAGACTATAAAAGTAGAAGGTATTACACAAAACAGCCGCTAACGAATTATAACTAATCTCTTATTGTATTTGGCACGCGAAGGTATAAATATGATGATACAATATTCGACTAATATTTAAAAATAAATAAATAAAGTATTATTTACTAGCTGCTGTCCACGACTACGTCTGCGTAGGATAGGCTGAAGGCGTAACATTCACACAGAAAGACATATATACATAAAATATGTATATAAATTATAGCCTATGTCTTATTCTGATATATAAGCTATATAATTGTAAAGTTTCATTAATATCCATTGAGCAGTATTTGCGTGAAGGAGTAACAAACATCCATCCATGCATACAAACGATGATGTGGTAGGGCTACGGAACAGTCTCAGTCAATTCACTGTTGCACGAATGGCCACGTCGGTCCGGGGAAGTACCACGACCTCACAGAAGACCGGCGGATGTGGAAGTGATACACTTTTCGTTATGCCTAGTGATCAAGGTAACGGGGACCCACTTTATTAAAAGATAGCAACGCATCTGCAACCTAAGTTGCAAAGGACCATGGGCGGTGGTTATCACTTCAAATTAGGCGAACCACCTGCTTGCCACCCCCTCAAATAAAAAAATAGAAGCTTACTAATCAAAAACACCTAATACCTATAAAAGTCACTCAAAATTATTTTAATAATTAGTAATAAAATTATTTCAAACAACTATCAACGGAGAAGCACACACACAACTTGCTTAAACAAAAAAAATACTGCGAAGACTCTTTTCGAGTCTATTTTTATATATATAATACATTGCACCCGTGCGAAGCCAGGGCGTGTCGCTAGTATTAAATAAAGTTATATTTGGTACACTCTCGACCAAACTCATTCAGAATTTGAAACTAATAAAAAGCGATGAAATCCTTTAAAATTAGTTTTATCCAAATGAGAATTCAACCCGATAGACCACATCCCAGACGTCGAGACCACTTATTATACAGACGTAATAATTAGTGACGATCGCCCTTACATGATCCATTTCATTGAAGTTATCGTGTTAAATATTTTATGCCTTATCTTTCTTCAAATAAAGAAAAGAAATCATGGACATCAAAGATATTGTTACAATGTCATCTCAGCATTATATTATCGTTGAAAACGTATTAGATTAGATGAAGCTTTATATAGTTTGCGAACTGAAAGCATAACTCGCGTTCATACAAGAAGTTAAGAACGTAAATATATACATTTACTTCTAAATCTCTTTAATATGCACAACCAACCAAGAACCTGTCCCTTAAAAACAAGTATTGATAGAGATAAGCTCCGCCATTAGACAAATAGGCTGAATCAATTCCTAAGAGGGGTGTGGTAGTGTGGGCGTCTTCAAGGCAGTAGTTAAAACGCTTTTATTAAGCTATTAAACTTACCATGTACGGCTTAGAAGTGATTACTTAACATTAAGTTTTGTCGCCGGTTTTAATCTAAAAAGTTTATGAACACATAAAAATTATAAATTTAACGATTTCTGCCCTTCAGTCCTTCGAAAATTTGATTGTTTCAAATACCGACGTTAAAAGGCCACATTGCTTTGTAAGAATAAACAGTAGTTAAGTCTTAGCTTCTAACCGTATATGTATTACGTATATTTTGTAGTATATCTCATATGTTGTATATAATTTAGTACTGTATTTAACTTATGCAAATACATTACACAGTTTGTAAATATTAACGTTTTCCTTGTTGGATATCTCTCTGTGCACCTACCTAATTTTCTCTGTACCACCCCAAGGTTGACTGGGAGATAATGCTTTTAGCATTAAGTCCGCCATTGTACTATTTGTGCATAAAGGATAAATAAATAAATGAATAAATAACCGAGTTTTGAACCAATATGACAGTGATACATTATATTGTCATTTACTGGTGTAAAGCATCCGATAGTCGAGTAATATTTGTAAAATCGAAAATCAGCCAGTGTGAATAATTCTATTTCGAATCGACTAGTTTAAAAGTAATGCCACTAAGCAAGTTGCTACGGTATTTAATTAAATGTAATCTTCGTTCAATCTCGGGATGATGGTTACTTCAGTACTAATTTAACAAAAGCGGCTGGCTCATCCATTTCCACTTTGTATTGAACCAGCTTTAAAGTAAGGCAATGTTTTGCTTGACGCATTTATTTATGTCTGTTATACATTGGCGTAATTATTGCTATGAGTTACAGGTAGCGATTTCTGTAGCAGCTAAGAGATTTGTTGATACAAGTGGTTTAATCATAATTTATGCTATTTTGAAATATATGTTTCAATTCATATCCGTTTACGTAACTCAGATTGCAATACAAATTGTGTTAGTGTTAAGCGTGTATACATACATACCCATATTTTATAATGCAAGTACTATAAATATGTTACCATTGGACTAAAGTCCAATGTAAATATCCATAACTAAATTATTACATCATTACTTATATGTTTAACGACAGATTTATGCTCATAGCATCTCTTAAAGTAATAATAAAAATATGCTAGGAAAAACCCACTGTTATTTTGTAAATAATATACAATATCAATAACATTGAGTATCACGTTTAAATGTCAGACGTTATAGCAGGTTTCGCTAATACAGCCATTTTGTATATAAATCAAATGACCTTTGCAGACCCGGTTCGATGATTCAGCCTTGTTCTACGCCAGCGGTCAAATCGACGACAAAATTCATTACATCGCTCTATCGATACACCAGGAGAAGATCGCCGTGCAGATTGACCTGGGAGACGGTCCAGTGGAAGACTATTTAGGGGAGAAAGTGAACAACAATCGCTGGCACAACCTCACTGTAATACTGCAAGAAAAATCGGCCTTCGTCTACCTCGATGACGTAACGGCGACTTACGAAGTACCAGGAAACGCGCGATACGTCTGCATTGACCCAGAAATTTACATATGCGGTGGTCCGGATTTGCACAAAATGAAAGGATTGAAATCCTTCAACAATTTCGCGGGCAACTTGAAATACGTTTATTACAACGACGTGTCGATACTGTACGAGCTGAAGCAAAACAACCCCAAAGTCCACTACATTGGGGTCCTCGATCCAGAATTCGAGGAGATCGATATCGAAGTTATACCTATAACTTACCCATTCGCCACATCACACATATGGTGGCCTTTAAATCAAAGTAATAGCATCAATTTGATTTTCGACTTTAAAACTAGCAAAAACATGGCCGTCCTAGCTTACAGCCAGATAACGACCGGACAGGGATACTGGGAGGTGAGTTACGAAATGTAGAAGCGTATGGTATATCAAACAATACATTATTCATTATCTTTCTACGAGGTTGTGAAGTAATTTAAACGAATGAGACTTAAAAACACGTTCGAATTGATAATGTACTGCAGGTTGCCCATTTCAACTTAGTTTGCAACATTAACATATCTGCAATAATGACGATCACACAGTCTTGTGAACGGTGATTAGTCGCCGGTGCCGGGTACGACTCCTAACCTAGAACTCTTCCTGAGTTATGCTGATATCATACCTCAAATAACTTAAGCTATATGTTAATATTATTCTCTGATCGTTTTTAAAAATTTTGATGAACTTACAAAAATTTGTTGATTGCAAAAACTATCATCATTTCTTATTTTTTATGTGAGAAAGTGGCAAATGAGCTGGCGGTTCACCTGAAGTTAAGTGATAACCGCCGGCCACGGACATTTGCAACATCAATTTGCAGATGTGTTGCCACCTTTTTATAGTGTGGGCTCCGGCTACCACACTCACCGGATGAAACGCAGAAGTGTAACACTTCTACTTTACACCGGTCTTCTGTAAGGTCGTGGTACTAACCCAGACGGACCTGCCCATTCGTGCAGCAGCGAACACTCTTTACGTGGTTAGGACCGTAAAAAATATTCCTCTTGACCTTTTTCGATACTTGAAAATCACTAAGAACATTTGGTTCCGCATTCCTATTATTTCAATCTTTACATCGTATTTCCAATGACAGCACATTTTTTCTTCCTTCATTTTTTTTTCTTCATTCTTTGATTTTACCTTTTTGAACACGAGAAATTTGAACATGTAAAAGAGTACATGCATTTGATATGCAGTCATACTGTTAGCTAGAAGGAGTATATCAGCGGGTGGTCCTAATAGCGAGCTTCATAACCGCGCTGTGGGTGGGTAATGTTAATAAAATTTCGTTTTATTTCTTCTCAAGTGCAGCTGACTTCCCTTTTTGAAATAGTTAATTTCGAATTTAAGCTAAGCTCACTTGTTTAAAATCTTCTTTCGTCTGTGTTATACTTGTTTCATTCGATTTACAAAATTAAAATGAGACTTAAATTTTACATTTATTATACTCGTATAATATATCCATATTTCCGTAGCCCTGTAAAAGTGAATATTTAAATTCTTCTTATACCTGATATTTTTATCAAAATTCAGAGAGACAAACCTTAATATGACTGACAGACAGACATAAAATTTAATACCAAATACACACTGATCACAGATAAAGAGCCGTGATAGCTCAGTGTCCGGGCGCTCGCCTTCATTTCAATATACTCGAGCAACCTGAGTTCGATCGCCGGTGCCAGCACCAATGAAGTTTTTGACTTTAAGTGCTGACTTATCACGGGCTCCGCGGTGAAGGAAAACATCGTGAGGAAACCTGCATATTTTCGAAATAATAACTAAAAAAATATATTTCAAAAATATGTGAAGTCCGCCAATCCGCAGTATGGCCGCGTGGTGGACTACATGGTGGCCCTGATACCCTCTGTATAGAGAAGGCCTTAGTCTAGCAGTGGGACATGTATAGGCTGTTACTTTACTTTACACATTGATCTTATTCGAATCACACAAATCGAACTTTAAATGTAAATTCTGGCATTTGTTTTTAAATCATAGACAGACACTTCAATTTTATAATTGGTACAGATGCCAAAAACAATTCGACGCTATAAATAATTTAGATTTGCAAAATTTCGACAAACAGATACATTTTCATATTGTATACTAGTAATCAAAATCATGAAACCCTTTTACAGGTCAGAATGGTTAAAGAAGAAATAAGATTCGAATTGGTTCCGGATATAGGAACGAATGTGACCGTTCTTAAGTCGGTAAAATTTAATGTTAGTAACGATTGGCACACAGTAGAGCTCGACTACAGAAAAGGAAGAATTAAGCTAACGGTCGACTATCATAACAAGCATGCACAAATGTTTGGTCAGTATTTAAGTCAACAACGTTTACATACAACGTTTTAAAGAGCCTTCGTATTATTATCGATCTTTGACATTTAAAAACTTTCAGCTGTTTTGTTGACAATAATAACTAAATGTTTATGTTAATTGAATATGGCAATTTAAAAAAAATATTCCGCAGGTCTAGATTTTCACCTCCAGGATAAAATAGTTATTGGCAGTGGACTTAAATCCGCCAACTTGGGTCTTATTGGATGCATGAGAAACATAAAGATCAACGGTTTAACCATCGAACCAAGGTAACTTTACACGATTCCTTTATCCTATTGTAAGAACTACAAATGTTATCGAAAATTTGTAGTGCAAATATTTATTATATATTATATAGTATTTATTATTTAATAAATAAATAAATTTTAACGAAAAAGAACGTATATATATTAATTTAAGGTAGGTACAGCATTTCATAGTAATAGTGATATTCGTGGTTTCTCTGCATCTCTCTTCCCTTTTATTGGCACATGTTAAAAATCCTCAACCATTGATTACTTAAAACTATATTATATAAGTTATTACTATTAAAATTTATCTTTCTCTTATACTGTCAATGCTATACTAATTCTAAGGTTCACTTTATAAGGTTCGTCATCAACACTGAAAGGGTTGTGGGCGAGGTGGCAATCGACGACTGTCGCTACGTAGACCCCTGCACCAGGCCGAACACGTGCGAACACGGGGGGATCTGCTCCATCAGGGAAGACAGAGTCATCTGCAACTGTGATAATACAGGTAAAGGTCTCAAGTGCAGTAGTGAGGTAGCCGGAGCCCAATTTTCAAAAAGTTGCCTACGCATCTGTAACCCTTGGGTGTGGCAGATGTCCATGGGCGGCGGATTCACTTAACATCAGGTGAACCGTCTGCTCGTTTGACAACTTTTCGCATTAAATAAATAAATAAAAAAAAATACTTCTTAATAAAATACAACGACGAACGTGGTCATCGATTAATTTAACATGCTTACAAGCACCAATAGTCAAGTCTATTATCTGTGCTCACTAAAGTTTAAAAATTCAATCACATTTAGCAGAAACAATTAACAGTTATATATTTTTACAGTTATTATTTATAAGCATATAAAATATTTAGGAAGGATTCAATGTGTCTACCATTGCATTTAAGGTTACATCGGTGAAAATTGTCACTTCGCGACATTCAGAAAGACTTGTGAGGAACTAGCTTTATTGGGTTATACAAGGAATGATGTTTATCTCATTGACATAGATGGAAACGGTAAATTCCCACCAGCTCACGTCAAATGCGAGTTCCAGATTGAAGCGGACTCTTCCACGACGGTCGTGGAACACAACCTTCCAAGCCAAGTTGTGAGTTTTTTTGTAAAACTTTGGTCCATTTTTCGGCAAATTTTTAAATATTTACTTTTTATAACCTGCACACTTATTAAATATTGACAAAGCCCATATTCCACTTAAATTGGTAATAGAATAACATGGGAGGTAAGGTTTGGAGTGACCAGATAAAAACGATAAGAAAAGAAATTTAAAAAGAAAACAAGAATGTGACATCTTAAATTGATTTCAGTTGTGTAGCTACATTTCCGTCATTATGTATGGAATAGCAGGCTGAAAGTCGGCTATCATCGTTCTATATCGAGGATCATTGACAATAAGGATGTCAAAAAATTGAAAATTGTATTCGCTCCAATGACGGAAATTATCTTTGTTGAGCCCCTGAGAAAAAATAGACCTCATCCGAGAATATGACATTAGAACTTTTGTATCACTATGTCAGTCGTTAAACAATGCTTGAGGTGGCTAACCTAACTGAACATTATGACAGGTAGATGTCATTAGTAACTTTGAGAACTGCTGAATTATTACAATTGGAAAAACTATCATTCCTATCTGGTTATTCTATTCTATCATCGAGAGTCGAAATTAAACCTCCCAATTGACTAATACGCCTTCACTCCACACCACTGACGTAACAAAAATCAAATGCAATCAATAATTTCTAATTAATTTGACGAATAGATACCTCTAGACTTCTAAGCAGAGGTCAACACTTTTAAAAGTAATTTCAAAGCTAAATTAATCGCCTTAGTTGGTGATTTGCCTGAAATAAATTTGAACTTATATTGAAATTGAACTTTGGCAATTAATATAAAATATTCACCACCACATTTAAGGCCTTGTTATGAAGCGACGCTCGATGTCTATTAAAAATGTATTTTAAAATATATTGACAAAATATATTTGATGTTTTCAATTATCTTCAGGGTAATAATAAGCAATGTTCTTTATTATTATCGTGTCTGCGAAGTTTAGAAGGTCACAGCCGCTCTAAAGCAGACACGTATCGTTGTAGGTCATAATGCGACGACTTGATGAAATGTCCCCACTAAAAAGGACATAAAAAATACCGTTCCAAGTTTACGCCTTTTTACTATATCTTTCAGATTTGATGCGACTTTTGCTTGATGTTCTTTCATCCCCCTGCTTAGTCGCAGATAATGTAAAGGCTTTTCTAATACTTATGAGGGAAATTAAAACATCAATTTTTTACTTGGGAAGATGGTGTCTGAGTTCCCTCCTTGTTAAATGATTACCGACGCACGTGAACCGATTTTTAAAAGAGCCGCCTAACTCGTAAAACAAAACGCAAAACACTCAGTGCCCCAACTATATCGACATCGTTGTGGGCAAATCACGGAAAAACTACTGGATAGACTTCAATTAATTCTCATAACATTTATTTCTTAGACACTGGGCCCTTATCTAAAATTGTGACATCTTCATTGAATGTAAAATTATTAAAGTTTTAAGGAACAACGATTTTTTCACTAGGCTCAATGTATTTTCTTGTTGTGATCTTTTTAATGATCCGCTGTTTTTGATGTTTTTTCCTCTGCACATAAAATACATTATTAATAAATAATAAACAACGCAGATGAAGTCGCGAGTATGATCCTCCTAGTTACAAAATGTGTAAAAAATGTTTATCGTTCTCATTTATTTCAGGATGTTCGTTCCGCGTCAGGCCAAGACTTCAGTTTCAAAATCAAATACAGGGAATTCACAGCTGAAATGATACAAGAGTTGATATCCCATTCCCTGTTCTGTCGTCAATACATCAAATACGATTGCAATATGGCCCCACTTGAGCTTCACAGTGCCACGTGGTTTATATCGTCGTCAGACGACACCGTTGACTATTTGGGTAATGTGAAAAGGTAATCAAAATATGAAAAATTCCTCTAAATACGTAATATAAAACAATATCTTTTACAGCCTGAGTTGCTCACGACTGAGACGTACGCCATTGCGGTATGTCATCTGTGTATGTTTTCTGGTGAGTTTGGTAACAGGACTACACTTTATTAAAGATGGTAACGCATCTGCAACCTTACGGGGGTTGCAAATGCCCCTGGCTGGCGGTTATTAGTTAACATCAGGTGAACCGCCAGCTCGCTTGCCACCTTTTTACAATTAAAAACATATATGTATTATGTTAATGTGTACAATTACACAATTAAAAGAATACATATTGAATATATAAAGTAATACAATTTTTCATAACAGTTACAGCCTAAATCAAGAATATTAAAATTGACATTAAAACCTTTAACGCAATCGTGCCGAAGACGAAAATCATTCAGTACCTTATTAAGCTAACAGTTCAATCGAACAAAACTGTTATTGAAATTTGCAGACTATCCAATACTTGCGAATCGGACGACCGCTCCCGTAATAGGACCCTTAACCTTCCTTAAATTTTATCGGCGTTACCTTTTTAAGTCCATAATCACAATTCAATAGGGTCGTAACACTTAGCGAAAATTAAATCGAGAATACTCACATGCGATAAATACGCGATCCCTTTTCATTGTCTTTAATCGTAGCAATTGCTACGAATTTCCACTGAACTTTATGGCCTACATTATATTACAAAATTGGGAACAAAATTTAACCATCGGATATCTTTTATGCAAAATCTTTGTTTCGCTTACGCGTGGTATACGAAGGCAAAATTTAACGCAAGCCTTAATTAAGGATTATATAACGTGCGAAATTTAGCGCTACCTCGGCCCATGTCAAAATACGAAACACCTTATTTTAAGAAAACCAAAAAAGGTAACTAATTTAACTGAACTAAACTGCAAAAATAACGAGTGACAAAGAAAAATCGTGAATTCTCCCAAATTTATGAGTAGACTAATAAAGTTTGGACATCTCGCAGAGTCACAGCTGACCAACTCCAAAGCAAGCTTCAGAAATTCACCACAACAATGTCAGCTCAAAATGATGATGACGACCAGCATATATTATAGTGTTTTATCTACTCGTATGACGCCAATGGTTAAATTACCATACTGAAAATCCTCTTTGTTTATTTTCCTTTTCTACGTCAAAGCCTTTGCGAGTATCTATCATACGGAGAAAATTTAATATAAAATCAGAATTGAACATTCTACAGTCACCGCCGAGCAATAATCCAGGAGTGATTTTGTTTCCAGAGGATACTGCCCGTGCGGTGTGAACGCGACCTGCGTTAACCCGACGCAGTCCTGCAATTGCGACGCGAATGAGAACAAATGGCACTCGGACGAGGGAATCCTGTTGGACCCGAAGAGTCTCGGCATAACGGAGATGTTTTTCCTGCAACAGAAGGACCTGACCGAGGAGGCCCAGGGGAGGATTACGTTGGGACCGTTGGAATGTGTTGAGACAAGTGCGTCGCCCGTTAATTTGAAGTTAGATCGCCCTAATTAATTAAATGCCGTTCCGTAATCCGTTGCAGTGTGAATTGTGGACATAGATACATAAACTATATATATCTATGTCCCCAATTCACACAGCAACGAATCAACGAAATTTAATGGAATATGCAACGGAGTCTGCATATGCTTGATTGACTCATAAGATATCTTTTTATAGAGCAGCTCGAGCGGGGATGGTCCATAACAATAGTTAATTAACCGAGGGTTCACTCTTTCTCACAGTGTGGTCGTAAAACGCCAGCAGTATTTCTCCTATCTTGAATGCGCGCAGCCTTACCTATAACGAAATGTCGTATAGTCATCTCTTTAAAGTAAAATAAAAATATTTGGACAATTTTTCCTTTTTAAATTTTAAAAAGTTGTTGAATACAAACTTTAGATTTGTAGTGTAATCTACCGAGTATTCAATACGGTAGTTATTAATGCTAAAATTTGAACCGTGTACTTAAAAAGAAGTTAAATACAATGTTTAACAGCTTCCTAAGTAAACAGAAGCTAGTCTAGTAGTATTAATGTTGTATTTTCTTTTCAATACCTCTTTTCAATTTCAATTATCTTCTATTAACCAAACTTTTTAAATTAATATCGTGGCAGCCGTGCAAGCAGTACCATAATGTTGTCGCTATTCTCTATACCCCTTTATATTGCGTCTCTACTTATCATCAAGTATTAGTGAAGCATCGGCCAATTTTGAGAACAAAATCCTGCTACAACTAGTAAATTAATATGCGAATGACAATCTTCATTTCGTTTCTCTCTACAGACACTCAAAGATACGTCGTAACGTTCACCACTTCACAATCTTACATTGAAGTGCCAGGGTGGAGGAAGGGGGATATCGCGTTCAGTTTCCGAACGACCGGAACCAGCGCCATCTTGCTTTTCCAGCCACCTATAAGACCGAACTACCCGTCGTTCATGGTCGCTTTAACCAGTGGTAAATAACAACTTCATTATTTTGTCGAAACTTAATTTAACTTACTTTTAATAGTCCTTAGAAATTAATTTGTGTTATGGCCTTGATCGCTCTTCTGAAACGTTCTAAATTATGATTTTTTTTAAATAACGAGATAAATTGAATGCGTAACATAATAAATGAAACTATTGTTTATGATTTATAGCGGAAATAATATTTTTAATTTTGATTCCTGACGGAATTAAACTTGAAAATATATCCTTAAAAGCAATTTCGTTTAATTCGTGGATATCAGCTTTAATTTGGTATATAACTATTATCTAGCGTGTCGACATAACATCATAAGCATTAGATAAACAGGTTTGTGAATAATCGTTCGTCAAAATTGATTTGTGAAAATAATACGAAAAATAAAAACCCACAGTTGCCCTTTTCCAAGGATTAAAAATATTTAAATTGGCAGTTTATACTATAAAGTATCAGCTCACAATATTTCTTGACGGGACCTAAAAAAGTTCGAGCCTTTCATAAATTAAGAATATAAAAACTAACGTTCAACCTGCCAAGCATTTGGCAAAGGATTATATACCTCCCGGGACTAACCGTGTTGAACGAAAACCAAACATATTTCAAGTTCATAAAACCCTTTGTTCATAAAACAAACTTAAAAAATTACATGCAATAAAGCGTTGTACGAAAAACATTTGTAAATATTTTCTACATAGATAATCGTACCCTTAGAAAATGGACATAAAAGTTATCAAGAAATAAATTGATATAGTTATAAACTTCACAAAATTATCGAAAAGTTTTCTTACAGATATTAATAAAGTTTAATATGTTACTCTAATTATTAAATTTTGATGGTTCCCAGAGCACGAGCTGACTTTCAACTTCACGCTGAACACCGGTACCACGAGGAAATTGGTAATCAATTCTAAGAGAAAACTGAACGGAGGGGAGTGGCACAAAATATGGATCGACTACAACTTCTATCACGTTCGGTTCATGTTGAACACGGAGTATCAAATGTTGAACTTGCTGTTGGAAGAGGAGTTTGGCCCGTTTGAGGGCTCCATGTTTATAGGTGGTGCGACTGCGTAAGTTATTCTTTTTCTAATTGTAAAATTGCCAAGCAAGTAGACGGTTCGCCTGATTGGTTACCTGGCTGATTATCGACAACGCTCGGAGGGCTGTAGGCGTCTTGCCGATCTTTACAAACAGTGGGCCCCGTCTACCTCACTCACTAGGCGAAACGCTAAAGTGAAATACTTCTACTTCATGTTGGTCTTTTGTAAGGCCGTGGTATTTGACCATAAGAGCCTGTCCATTTTTGAAACCAGGAAAGCTGATGCATGTCTTGATGGGGTCTTCGGCAACCTAACCTCTCTATAAATAAGTAAACCTAACCTCTCGATAGTACAAACTATGGATACTAGATAACTAATAAACATGCTTATACATACTTTTTTTATAAATAAATGTATATTATATATTAACAAACACCCAGACACTAGAAAAAACTATGCTCATCACACAATATTTTCACAACACTAATAAATTTATTAATTAAATAATTTATAAGCTTAAAACTCGTTTGTAACAAACTATAGAGATATAAATAATTAAAGCTCGGTCTCAAATTAATAGTCCGACTGAAGTTTAAGAGAAATGTTCACATAAATATAAAAAAAAAAAACATAATTTGAAAGTAATATACTTATATTGAGTAAACGCGGGTAGCAAATTCTAGATACCGTTGCTCGAGAATGAGCTAATTAATAGCGAGCGCCTAGACACTTATCACGATAAATTAGATACCATTTTGCTTTTACATCACTCCATGAGTACGTAATTACGTCGAGAGTTCAAGTCTAATAGGTTGAATATATATCATTGGGCGAGACGACAGGTTTTCCTATTTATTACTTACCAGTTTAAATATGAAGTGAATAATATACAAGCTAAATTGCTTCTTAGATAAGATATTGGTTGATTATAAAATGACTACGTACTGTAGTTAAACGAATATACCGTGAATTAACATTTAACCATAAGGAGTAAGAAAAGTCTGTAGAGTTATACTAACTCAATAAGTAGCTACATCTTCTCTTCTTTGAGAAATAGTTTAGATAATATCTAATGATATTTAAATTTTTCCTCATTTTTTTTACATAATTCGTTAAGTCTTAAACTTACTGACTCTTGAAGTTAAACTCATGCTGTGGATGCAATTTATACAAAATTGCTCTCATATTTGGACCCGGTTTGCGGTGTCATGCTTTTCATCACTCTCTTATGGAACTTAACCCCTTTGTGATAAACTCAAGGGCGGATCCAGGGGGGGGGGGGGGTCATGGGGGTCTTGACCCCCCCCCCCCCTGGGCTGGGTCCAGGACCTAGGTGGACCACTAATAAAAATTGTTAAACATAATATTTTTATATTTTTTGACACAATATAGATTTTATGTAAGTACCTTCAATATTAATTTAAATTAATATAATATTTTTAACCGACTTCAAAAGGAGGAGTTTCTCAATTCGATTGTTATTTTTTTTTTCGATGTATGTACACCGATTACGTTGAGATTTATGATCCCATTTACGTGATTCTTCTTTAGTTTGATGTAGAATAGTTGCCATTTTTTCCCATAAAAAATTACCATAGTTTGGATAAGTAGTTTTCATTTTATGAACATTTTTACAAAATTTTAATGTTTGTCATCAAAAATGAAACTAATTTTACGGATTTATCGCGTTTATTTTTAATTTTAATTCCCGACGTTTCGAACCCTTTACAGCGTTCATGGTCACGGGACAGACTGAGGTGTTAGACGTCTGATTGTCATAGTTAACCCGGGCTACCGTCAGTTTTTGAATTATTAATTTTGTGTCCGATCTATGCAGAGGGAGCTAATTGTATCTTGTCTTGCAGTAGTGGTTCGTTTGGGCCTAGATTTAATTTTATTGATGACAGGATCCCAAGCTGATGGTAGTACCCAACCTTCTTCTCTATTGAAATTAGGGTGTTTTTTAATTTCAATAGCCTCGCGAATCATCCTTGGGAGGAATCGGTGTTCTTTTGCAAGGATCTGTGGTTTGTCAAACCTGATGTAGTGGTTGGGTCTATTCAAAATGTGCTCACAAACTGCAGACTTGTTCAATCTATTGTGTTTTATGTCAGCTATATGTTCTTTCACGCGGGTTTTTATTGCTCTTTTCGTTTGCTCATTGTATACACTGACGGTAGCCCGGGTTAACTATGACAATCAGACGTCTAACACCTCAGTCTGTCCCGTGACCATGAACGCTGTAAAGGGTTCGAAACGTCGGGAATTAAAATTAAAAATAAACGCGATAAATCCGTAAAATTAGTTTCATTTATAATGTGTAATCGCGTAAATACAAGAAATTAGTTTGTCATCAAATCTTGCAAATTAAATTTGATCTACTTCCCGGTTACCGGTAGAGCTGAAATTTTGTATACATGTGTAAATCGCGAGACAATGCAATATTTTTATGACATGGTGCTGATCTGATGATGGAGCTGGAAGGTGGCAAAAGGAACTTCGCAATGAAACGACAGAGCCTCATCGCGTTCGGGTACATTTGAATCGTATTGACGAGTAGTTTGTCTTTCACTTAGATAAATAAATAAATAAACAAATTAATTAATTAATTAATTTCATAGCTAACCAGGATCTTATGATGGAGCTCCATCTTCAGCCGTCCATTGACATATGCACAGGGTTGCAGATGCGTTTTCTCCTTACAATAAAGTGTGCTCCTGCTACCTCACTCACCAGACAAAACGCAGAATTACTTTACGCCAATCTTCTGTGAGGTCTATTCTGTGAGGTTCTTATGATCACTCTGTAATGAAACGACTGACCCCATCGAGTTTCGGCTCGTTTGATTCGTCTTGGCGAGTACTTAATTTATAGATGTTACCAGGGTCTGATCTGATGATGGAACTGGAAGATAGTCTGGTAGTCTGGTAGTAGTACTCAGTAAACAAACGACGCAACCCTATTGTGTCTAGGCTCGTTTGATTCGTCATGACGAGTTCTTTAGTGCTAGATGGTAACCAGGGTCTGATGACACAGCTGGAATGTGGCCATAGGAACCCAGTAATTAAGGAACACAACTGCGTCGAGTTTGATTCGTCTTAATGGGTGGACCGTTTTTGACGGGTGGTGAGAGGTGGTGGTTCAGTGGACGTGAGTATGCGACCCCATCTATGGGAAGTAAAGTTTTTTCGTTCCGTTTGTTATAAATGTGGATTCTGTCTGTGATTAGATGGATTAGATGGACGAACGCTGAATATTATGAATGAATGAATGAATGACTGAATAAATATTTTTTTTGTTATTTATGAGCATTTTTTTAACGTGGACGATGAAATTTTTAGTGTACGGCTATTTTACGAGTTTTCGTTTGGGTTGATTATATATTATTATTAACCCGTGTCCCGATAGTCCCGTCTTAGGCTACTTGTCATTAAAGTGGAGCCAGCGTGCGGAGTAGAGGAATTGAAAAATATTAACTTAACTTTTCTAAGTGTATCCATTTTTTTATTAAATTCTAAACATAAATAAAGTTATAATAAAAAATGATAAATATTTAAAATCACTCGTAAATAATTAATTACATTCATTTGAACTTATCTCAGAAAGTGCGTGATTAATGGGCAACTCATGTATTATACGCGCGATCATTCATAACTAACACGCAGACAAGTTCGTTTCAAAAGTATACGACGCATTTATGAATGACTACCGCATTGTCAACAAGTTCTGTTTTTTAGGGAATAGAATGCCAATTTTAATTAAAAAAATGTTTATTTTTATTTCAATAAATGGTTATACTACAGAGTTTGAACCTCCTGTGTGAATTTGGGCACCTTTATAATTTATGACAATAAAAAGAAACGAATTGTTACGAACAAAAAATGAATATTGCAAATCCGTCTATATAAGTTATGCCATAACATACATAAAAAAAATGTAAACATCCGAATTGATAACATCCTTCTTTTTGAAGTCGTTTAAAAATACTTACTTTTTACTTGTATCTATGATTATAATAATTAAATTATAATATCAATTGACCACGACTACCCCCCAGTGACCCCCCCCCCCCTGGCACCAAAGCTGGATCCGCCCTTGGATAAACTATGATGTGATATTTTTCATCATATCGTCCGTGATACAAGTTTTGAAGGTACTGACTTTTATGTTTTAATTAACTAATATTAATATTTTAAGTAAATATTTTAGTGACGACTTTAATCATAATAATATTAAGATTACTATCGAAACATTTATTTTGTTAACGTTTTATTTTTTTTTAAATTGCCAGTGCTTTAAAAAAAGACCCTATCGATTTTAAGAAGTGATGAAAACTTTAAGTGGTAAATGCACTAACTGAATAAAAGCCTTTCTTTAAACGCACAAACCTGCATACAGCGCAGGAACATTTCGTAATGGGATAGGGAACATAGGGCAAGAGCAAACCACTTTGCACGATTCTCACAGACCTTGTATACAAAATGGAAGTTGGTATATGCACACACTAAACACGATCATACTTTAACCATTCACCGTGAACATGAGGTAGAGGTTTAATGGAGAGGGTTTTTATGCGATTATCTTTGTTGTTAGTCACCACTAAACGGTGCAGTATATGACATGACATAAATTGGTATTCTAATACAGATAATATTTTCGTTCTCTCTACTTTATTGTTACTGGTCAGATTGCGTAACAGCATTTCATGCGGCAAGACAACGCCTGTCGGGATCTACAAGATAACTTATTTATATCATATATTCCTTATAATCTTATTACAGCGAGCATCTGAAGAAGTCAGCTGTCCATCAAGGGCTCATAGGTTGCTTCAGGGGTTTAGTTGTAAACGGGGAGGTTTTAGACATATACAGTTATATGTCAGTTCACTTGTCGGAGATCATCAAAGACTGCAAGCCGTCGTGTGTACCGAACCCGTGTCAGAATAAAGCGACGTGCAAAGAGCTATGGTCCACGTACGAGTGTATTTGCAAGAACCCCTGGGCGCACCTTGGTGTACACTGCGAAGAGAGTGAGTACAGTCGACGACAAATTTAGAGAGTGAGCTATTGTCCGTCACAACATAATGTCAAAAGCCAACCAAGCAAGCAAGCCTTCAATAACAATTTGTGACTTGCAACCAAACATTGCAAATAAACATATTACATTATTTGCAAACAAATCCATTTCATTTTAAAGGTAATATAAAAAACCAACTTAGTGCGAATCGAACTCGCGCACGAAGAGTTCCATACCATTATCTATAAAAATGGCAAAAAAATCATGTCTGTTCATAGCATCGCTTAAATGTTTTTTAGCATTCGTTGTTATAGTCGCAACAAAAATACATCATCCTTGAAAATTTAAACTGTCTATCACGGTTCATGTGACACAGCCTGGTGACAGACGGACAGACAGACAGACAGATAGACAGACAGACAGCGGAGTCTTAGTAATAGGGGCCTGCTTTACCTTAAAAACGCGTGAAATTTAATGTTAATACGGAAAAACTTTATTCAAGTTTTAAACGCATGTCTGGACAAAACGGTATGAACCCCTTGATATTGCATACAAATTATATTTCAAAATACCGCAATAGATATGAAACATTAATAGTTTTTTTGTATTTTTGCAAGGGCTAAAATACTTAAAAGCAATGAATTAAGACCTAATAAAATAAATATCATCAATACACACAAGGAGAGCTGCTCGAAATAAATTCTTAACAGAGAAACATCAATTCATACGAAAAATATGTATTCATTACCTCCTTAGTTAAAGGTATTGCTATATCAACTGGAAATAAATCCTGTTGTAGCCATTAATGAAGTTATTTATAACCTCTCGCCGAACAAACCATATTACAATAATAAATTTCACAGCTCTTATAAATCACCGTTGCAGACACGTTAGCAATTACATCACGTAATGGCTTATACATTTTAGGAAGTAAGTTGTGTGCACAATAGCAATTATCATCTGCATAACACCCCGTCGAATCCTAAGGTATTGATGTTTCGCAAGCGGAGTGTAATGTTCGAAACTCGTTCCGCAGACATAAACGAGAAGGCACTGACGTTCCAAACCAAGGAGGCTTATTTGAAAAAGAACTATTTGGTGGACAACGAAACCGACGCGGAGAAGCACCGGCTGAAGAAGATGATGGTAGAGAACGTCCTGATGAATCTTAGGACGTACGACGACAACGCCCTAGTGCTGTACGCTAACGACAACCTCAACAATTTCATCCATCTGTTTATACACAACGGCACTCAAATCATCTACCTGTTCAATAACGAAGACGAAATCGTCGAGATGAACGTCACCCACGATCGGATCAATAAAGGCGAAAGTGTTCAGATCGCAATTATCAGAACCGAAAACTCGACAACTTTGCACGTGAACGATAAGAACAGTACAATTGGTAAAGTAGCGAAACTTCTATCCAACTATACCAATAAGCCTTGGATTAATCCAGAGTTAGGTAAGTTTCACACCAGGAACGTCTGAAATTTTAGCTTATCTCCAATGTAATTGTAGTAGTTGTGTAAATAGAAATTGCTAACTTAAACCCTAGTTCGTTACAGTTTACTGTTATTGTCTCACCTAAATTGCGTTCAAATTTGTAGTTTTACAATTACGAGGCTTGTAGATATTTATAAAGAGATGTCATCACAATGATAAAAATGAGAATGTAAAATTATTTACGTATTAAAATAATTTATAGGAACGGTTTGTTAATGGATTATTCGGTGTATAAGTGTACCATCTACGGCTACGTAGCCACGATCGCCTTTAACTCAATGTACTCGAGCAACCTGAGTTCGGTCCCCGGTGCCGGCACCAATGAAATTGTTAATTTTAGGTGCCGAATTATCACGTGCTTAATGGTCAAGGAAAACATCGTAAGGAATCCTGCATATTTTGAAATAATAATAAAAAAAAATATTTCGAAGATATGTGTGTGGTGGACTATGCCCTGATACCCTCTGTACAGAGGAGGCCTTTGTCCAGCAGTGGGACATGTATAGGCTGATACTTAACTTTTTACTTATTGCAATGGTCGTTCTCGTTGACTCAGTGTCGAGATTTGTACTTTATTTGACTGAGATTTATGCAATAAAAGGGCGCGTCCCGGCACAGGCCTAACGAAGCTGCTATAAATATATAAAGAATGACGTGAATTTTCAGAAGTGATCCGGCCACAGAGGCCACCTGCGCCACCAACCGACTACTTTCAAATGAACCTTGGCGGCTATGATCCATACTCTTTACATCTGGCACCAAGAGCAACCATACTACCACAAGGGGGATACGTCGGTTGTGTTAGAGGATTCAAAATAGCTGACCACGTCGTAGACTTGTCGAGAAAAGCCTTGCAGAATATTGATCAAGGTCATTCTAGGAAGAAAGAGTATTATATTATATTTATCATCATTCCTATTTTAATTATACAATTGATGACTTCGTGGCGCAGTTGCCAAGGTATTGGCTTCGGCGTCGGGTGTAGTGGGTTCGATTCCCACACGGGACAACTATTTGTGTGATCCACAGATAATTGTTTCGCATCTGGGTGTTTGTCCGCGTGAAATATATGTTTGTAAAACGTCCTTACAACGCAGGATAATGTTATTCTAAAGGGTATTGTTTTTTTTTTTTTAAAGAAAAAAAATATAAATTTCATCTTTATCCTAATTTACCTAGTATTATTTGAAATCTAGACTCTTTATAGATTTCTTTTAAATGACTCTATCTATACATAATGCTTTTTATCTTTATAATATTGCCGCTATGTTACACAATTGTACTACAAAATTCGTAATGGGCATTTTTATTTAAAATCAGATTTTCTTTAGCTTAAACAATTGTGATTATCAACAGTTCATTTGTTCTCATTTACTCAAAAGCAGCAGAAACTGTTTAGAACAAAAGCTTCTTAACAAAGTTTGAACAAAGCCAGATGTGAAACTGCAAACCGAAATTGGTATACCAACAAACAACATTATCGCGATGCTGTTTAAACTCTCGCCGGGGCCGGATCTTTCCGACTGCAGGCAACGCAAGTTGTGTTAAAGAAAACTAACCTCCGTTCTTTATTTAACTTGGGTAATTCAATCGCGCGAGTTGGCGTGCTGTTTTGAAAACGCTAACACCTCTGCAGATCTCACGGGGGTGCTGCCGGAATGCAATATGAAGTGCGACTCGGAGCCTTGCAAGAACGGTGGCACCTGCACGGAGGATTTCACCAACCAGGAGAGCAGCTGCGACTGCGAGCTGACCAGTTACTTCGGGGAGTACTGCATGGAGGAGAAGGGGGCCGACTTCAACGGAGAGAGCATACTGCAGAGGAAATTCGTACTCCTGGGACCCGTTTTGAAAGTAATCTTGTCACACATTAGGTCAAGTCGAAACAGACTGTGTAGTAAAAAACAACCTAATTTCAAAGTCTGACGTAACTTGATTGCAGGTAAAAATAAAATTGGCATTTTCAAGCAATGACCTAAGGCAGAAAAATACTGTTCTGCTTTTAGTACAGACCGAAAACAAGTGAGTATAGTGTTTTTAATTCGGTAGCATTATACATATATAGGTGAAGTTCTTGTCAGTAATAAAAATTATGGTGGAGCCATGTATCAGTTCCACGATCTGACAAGAACAAAGCAAACAGCAAGAAGAAAGAAGTGCAAGTATTATAATTTTGCGTTTCGTCTGATGAGTGAGGTAACTAAGACCCACGTTTTTAAAGTTTGTCAGATGTTGTAGATGCCCATGGTTGGTGGTAATCACTCAACATCAGGGAACCCGCTTCTCGCTTGACAACGTTGAACATTAAAAAAAAATTATTAATTTTTTACAATTTACACACAATTTAATAATAAAGGAATTTGAATAATAAATTATTATTTATTTTCTTTAAGACGCAGCTATTATTTACTTGTTGCTATTACACAAGATGGATACTTAAAATTTGAGGAAGACAGGGAAGAAGCCGCCTTTGGTGCAGAGGTGAAAAACAGAAACTTTTTGAATGGTTAGTTTCTTCAACTATTTAACTGTACATTTGTTGGGGACCTGTTGCTTGGGGGCCAGTTTCTCACATTTTCATTTCAAGGAAATAGACAGTGCAAATAAGATATGTCAACTATGAATTGTGGAAAGACTTGTTATTTAACTACATAATTATTTAAAGTTTTTTATAGTGCTAATCTATGCATTTAAGATTAAACATTAAACTAATATTAACTAAAATTAACAAGAAAAGATTGTCGCCGCTGTGGGAATCGAACCCACGTCTTCGGCATTCGCGGCCTGACGCTTTAGCCACTAAGCTAAACGGCTGATTGCCACGAAAATCTTAACGGCTTTTATCTACATTGTTTTTTAGCATTTGAAGCAATGCTTGGCGCATCTATTGTTATATCCTTTCCAGCATACAAACAATTTCGAATATCGTTTTACAACGATAACTCAAACGAGAGATGTCGCCATTGCTTAACATAATTATTTTTTTGATTTTATACGTAGTGAAAAGCTAAATTAATACATAATAAACATCCTTAAACCATATCTCTAATATTTGATAGTTACTTAATCATAAAGAAATCTGAATCAGATTTACGCTTGTCATGTTATATGTGATTTTCGGAAGGATAATATTATTTTTATTGTTGAATATGTATAGTAAAAGCGACAGCTTTTAACGTAATAAAATAAATAAATTCTAGATCTAGTAGATCTTAAGTTCTTTAAAATAATAAACATTTCAGTTTTTGAGTACGATTAGTACATACCCCCATACTAAAGTGGTCATCATCCTCGTATGAATCAGGGACTTGCCTTATGTTATCAAAAAAAAAATTGTATCAAAAAAGCATAATTTGGTATGACATGAATTTATTTTATGTTCAAATTAAAAAGAAACACCTTTAAAATTACGTTCAGAATATTCTTCAAAGACGATAAAGAGTTATTTCGTAATTAATTAAAGCAATAATAATTAAACACTTTAACGACTTCGAAAATGCGTTAATAAAGAAAATCGCTTAATGAAAGAAAAGTAATAAGAAGAGAGCATCTTTGATACGCATGAAAATATTGTCGTGTCGTATTTAGAATACTTAATTTTTAATTAGGTATGTTTTTAAAAAATATTTAGTTTATTTTTCGATTTTGTATTATCATATCTTTACTTAATTTTCTGTCAGTAAATCTTATTATACAAGCATAATAAAAAAATCATACATGAGATATTTCCATTGCAGGTGCTCGTCATTCAGTGTATTACACGAGAGTAGGTCAAGAAGCGAAACTGTTAATAGATAGAATAGAAGTACCCCTTGAAAGACTGCCGCCTCAAGGTCTGTGGGAGGTGTTTGATGTCGGATCTAACGAGGTGCAAATAGGGGGCTTGAACACCACAGACCCGCGGCTCATGATTTACAAGGGCTACAACGGGTGCCTGTCCAGTATGTAACTGGTTGTTTCCATTCTGCACTCCATGCCTTTTCTTGTGTGTTTTGCATACCATGCTTTTTCTAGTGACTTAGTCACTCTTTACACATCATAACCGTCAATATGTATTAAGTTTTGAACCCTTTTACCGCCGTTTGAAAAAAATGAATCTTCGATAATTTTTTCATGTATAAGATAAAGTCCGTTGCGCAATTCTAAGGTATTGACTTCGGCGTCGGGGATCGTGGGTTCGATTCCCACACGGATTGTTGTTTCGCATCTGGGTGTTTGTCCGCGTGAATTTTATGTTTGTTAAACGTCCTTACAACATAGGATGTTATCCTAAAGTAAGGGCAATGTTTAAAATAAAAACAGAAAAGAAAAAAAAATAAAGTGGATTCTTGACATCTGCTAAATAATATTTTTCAGTTCAAGGTTAGCAAAAATATAAGCATGATATCCCACTTAGCCACTTTTATTGAGCAAGTGCGACAGATGGTAGACCTTATTGTTACTAAATGTATCTAAGAAAACTGAATGCGGTCAAAAAATTGGTTTTGCGGCGAACGTGGAGCCAACAATATGTTATTAACTTTTGTGAATAGCAGGATCAAAGTCTATGAACTATGACTTTGCGTATACATATAGACTGTGATCTCTTAATCACTTCAATATCTCGCTTGTTTTCCATCTTCTCTATTATAAATAAATTTATAAAGCAAGTCGTACTTATAGTAAATGTAACATTCTCAGATTGTATGTATCCCATTACTCATCCTTGACTGGACTAATACAATTTTCACCACAATTACATATTTTTCACAATTATATACAAGTACATACATACACACGTCTGTCAGAGAGTTATACGGATTTCCACTGCTCGCAAGATTTACTCACCTCAACTTACTATACCCGTATGCTTATATGAAACCACTGTTCTTCTTTAGCAAATCGAACATCTGATAGACAATACGATATACGTTTGTCTATGGCACCTTTGTTTTGCTTTTTTATGTAAGAAGATGACGGTAGACCTGATTGATGTTAAGTGATAACCGCGTCCCATGGACATTTGCCACCTTTTAAGTAAGTGCGCCCTGGCTGCCTCACTGACCAGATGAAACGCAGAAGTATAACTCTACTTCACGCCGGTCTTCTGTGACGGCGCGTTACCTCCCCGGACGGACCTGCCCATACGTGCAACAGCGAAGACTGAAGCGGCGCTAGCACGTCTAAAACACACACGGGCCGTCCCCACTCTCCCCTCAGATATATTCGTGGAACTCAACGACTACGAGATGAAGCCGTTAGAAGAGTACATGCTCTTCACGCGATCGGACGCCGAAAAGGTGAACGCTGTGAACGCTCACGGGGTGCGAAGCGCGCAGTGCTCCGCCGAGTTCGACGACGCGTGGCCAGAGAGGGATCAGCTGGCGACGCATAACGGTAGCTTCTTAATCGTAAGTTCGCCTCGGTTATGTCTAGAAATTTGTTTATTCTTAATTGCAATTACCTTAAGCAAGAACTACAAAGGGCGAACTTAATGCCTTTTGGCATTCTATCCCAGTCAACAAGACGTGGTGGGAAATCGTACGGAACTCAACGGTGCGGTCCTGCACCGAGAGACAATAAATTCAGCGAACAATCATCGCCCCCTTTCTTATCGGCTGTAACTTCGAAACAGACTTATCAAGCCTTTTGTTTACCTTATCGTATTTTTCCCTTAAATAATAATGTATTTATTCATATGTATTTAAGATTACGGGATAATGAAGCTTTAAGACAATACGGGGTATAAAACATTTCCATTATACCAAATTTATTTATGGAAAAAGGGGGCAGGAAGCTCACCTGATGGAAAGTGATCACCGCTGCCCACCATGAACATCTGCAGCATAAGAAGAAAAGGGAAAGTATATGCTCCCTACTTCTTGATGGATCCCAGCTCGTGACGGTTCAGAATGACCGTCATGCGAACGCCGGTTCCACAGTGGTTGGGCGAGACAGAAAATGCCTGAAAAATCGCTCTGTTGTTGTACGTTGGACATCGAGGTGTGGATGGAATTTCTGGTTTTGGCGCGATGTCCGATGGTGAATTTCAGCGGCCGGGATCAATTCAAAAAATTCCTCGGAACACTCCAAGTGATAAACGCGGTATAAGATGCAGAGTTTAACTAAACTAACTAGTTAGAGTTTAATTATACTTTATGACAAGAGCAGCGTTTTTAAATTTCGTTGAATGTTACTTTAATCCGCTATGTGCACTTTATCGTAGGGACTACATTCTGAGACTTTAACTACCGTCAAATAATTTTACTGTACATATGTGATTAGACGTGCCTGCTTTGGCAAAATTGCTTAAGCTGTATAAGCAGTGCGAAACGGATCGAGTCATATGTAAGAAAGTGGTATATGATGATGACATCATCGTGACGTCTAATCGACTTTTTTAAGCTTCGTCAAACTGGGAAGTCTCAATACGCTGTGGTATGTGATATGAAAGTAATGAGTGTCTATTTAAAATCACTACATAGTATAAAACAAAGTCGTCCCGCTGTCTGTCCCTATGTATGCTTAGATCTTTAAAACTACGCAACGGTATCCTGATGCGGTTTTTTTAGAATGATTTAAGAGGATGATAGATATGTATAATTACACCTGTGCGAAGCCGGAGCGGGTTGCTAGTTAAAAATAAACGCCATAAATTCGTTTCATTTAAGGGTGTTCATTATGTGGGCCACTTCTTTTCTCGCCCAAATGTTAACCATAACTACTAAGCGAGGCAACTAATTTATTATTAAGGTTTCATTACCTTTCAGAGCGTCGATAAGGCCTGGGTAGAAGATCCTCCAGCTAGGATTCCGTACGACTCCCTACACCAGCAGCCAGATGCAGAAGAAGAGAACACTGATAAGCTTTTCATAACTCTTATAGTAATTTTTATACTGGGTCTTTGCTACTGTGGGTCCCATGTGAGTATTTACACCATCTATAATAATGTTTCGTTTTAAGATTAAGGTCATAATTGTTGGTACGCAAGGATACTAGGATATTTAAAAATATTTTTTTGTGGCTAAAACAGATAGACATAGAATAGAAAGTCATAGCGAAAGAAATTAATTATTTCTATAGCTTGTAAATTCTTTCTTTATTGATTGACATTTGTGCGTTCAGTCCGTAAACTACGTAGGCGGGATGATAAGTAACTAGCCATTGCTATTTAAAAAGTTAAAATTAAAAAAATATATGTGTCATTTTTAAATTCGTATCTCTGGCCACCTGTGTTCTAAATTTGAATTAGGTGGCGTGAAAATTTTATTGTTTTTTTGTCATTTGAAAATATATTTCGTCAACTATTTTCAAAATTTATAAAATTGAACAGAGAGCGGTGATAAAGTTTCTTCATATGAAGGGGATGAAGGCGAAAGATATCTATGACGAGTTAAAGAATGTTTTGGGTGAATGTGCTCTTTCTTATGCCACAGTAAAAAACTGGGTGGCTGAGTTTAAACGCGGTCGTACATGTGTCTAAGATGAAGCCCGCCCCGGACGTCCAAAAAGCGTTATGACTCCGGAAATGGTCGTGAAAGTACATGATATGGTTTTAGCAGATCGACGATTGAAGTTATCTGAAATAGCTGACACTACAGGTATCTCAAAAGAACGGGTACATCATATCCTAAGTGAGGAATTAAATATGAAAAAGTTATCGGCCCGTTGGGTGCCGCGAATGCTTACGCACGATCAAAAAAGGATTCGGGTGCAAAACTCAAAAGAATGTCTGGACCGTTTTCAGAGTAATAAGGCCGATTTTTTACGTCGATTTGTAACAACAGATGAAACATGGGTTCATCATTACACGCCAGAATCAAAAATTCAATCAAAACAGTGGACTCAATCGGGATGCCCGGCTCCGAAAAAGCCATGGCTGTAAAGTCGGCTGGAAAAGTGATGGCTTCCGTCTTTTGGAATGCAGATGGGATTTTGATGATAGATTACCTCGCTAAAGGTCAAACAATTAATGGTGAATACTACGCTAATCTTCTTGATAAGCTTCATCAATGTATTCAGCAAAAACGACCAGGTTTGGTGAAAAAAAAAATCATCTTCCACCAAGACAACGCTAGGGTTCACACATGTGTTAAAGCTATGGCAAAAATCAACGAATTGAAGTATGATTTGCTGCCTCACCCACCTTATTCGCCTCATCTAGCGCCATCAGACTTCCACTTATTCCCTAAGCTCAAAACTTTTTTGGGCGGAAAGAAATTTGCCACAAATGATGAAGTCATAGCCGCCGTAGAGGAGTATTTTGCAGGCCTCGAAAGAAATCATTTTCTAGAAGGCATTACTGCTTTAGAACGAAGATGGAATAAGTGTGTAGCGGTTCAAGGAGAGTATGTCGAAAAATAAAATTAATTTTATCACGGAAAGTTAAGTGTTTTCTTATTAGGCTAGTTACTTATCATCCCGCCCTCGTATGTAACGTTACGCAGATAAAATTTTCGAACGGTCGCTTGGTATTTTTCTCTCGAAGAACCATTTTATTACCAATTAAAAGCATTATGTTTATTCAAATATAATGGTTTTAATTGGTAATAGAATAGTCCCAAATAATTCCGGAGACTTAGTTATTTGATTTCAAAAATCGTGCTCATTTGTACAATTAAAAGTTCAGAGATGATGAAGATCAAAATGGGGATGAATAACAGTATACCCCTTCTGCCCATTCCAAAATTAGTGCAATCTTCATAATAATATTACAATTTTTTACAGATGTGGCGAACACACAAAGCTTACAAGTTACGATTAGAAAAAATTACGGACGAGAACATTATGAGGAACAAGGAGAAAGCCATAAAATTGCAGGAACCAAGCGTTTCTTATCTACAGGTTTGAGATTATACCTTATTTTATTTTAATATACACGTGAAATTTTCAATACCGGCACTAATTAATTGTCTACATGTAAGAACCCAAATATTAATTGGTTAATCTATTTACCTCTTATGACTTTATGAGCCTATCTAATTCAAATTTGCAGTTGTTTGAAATAATAGTAAAGTAATACTCTCATTTAATAAATATACGTGTACCTTTATACATTCATATTTTTACTCTTCATGTATGGGTGATGCTATAGTAGTGCCAAGGTGTAAACTTACCAGAGTTTTAGGAAGGTCGCCAATGAAAATTCATTTAACAATACCTGTTTTTGTTTTGGGGGAAGTTTTCGAAAGATATCCTGTCACCTTACATATACCTTACATACCCACCAAAACCCCCTCGGTATTATTACCACATACCTATTCTATGAGCCCGGGACTACAGGGCTGTTATTTAAATACCTATACCTGTTTTACTTTGGAGATAAATCGTATTAGCAGTTATAAGCCATAAATAAAAAATACATTACAAAATATATTACAGCTCAATAAGGAAGATTTACTAAACAAAGAGACGGATTTGAAGTCAAATGGTGTTTCCATCGATATCATCCCTACGGTAATCGTTGAAACCACGGAAGAGAAGCCGATGGGAAGGAAAGGATCCCTAAGATTTAGAGGTAACTAATATGCATTACAAAATTTTTAACTTTCTTTCACGTGGAGACCGAGGTATTTTATATTAACCCAGCCTCACAAGTCTTTATTTCCGCCCCTTAAACGATTAAAGGTTCATTACTCAATAGTGGTGTTCATTATTCATATCTGTATTTTTTTATTTTAAAATTTATAACCCGGCTATCACATAACATTCATTTTGATTTAAATATATAACATGTTATTTTGCTATTTGCTACAATTATGACGAAATTGAAAGGGATAATTTCTTTCGCAGAAATTATAGACAAAGATGTAACGTTCGAAACGTTGGAGGAGAAAGATGAAAATGATGAAGAGGATGAAGTGAGTTCGGAAAAAGACACCGAAGATGAAGAAGAAAACGAATCTAATACGGTAATTATTCATTCACTCGCCTTTAAAATTATTTTTATGAAGAAAACATCTGACAACTGTTGAGAGATGTGTGGTTATAAGTAAGGGCTGGCAAAGCAACTGCAACTCCACGACATTAACGGCTTTAATTATCATCAGGTGAACCCCGTAATGGATAATGTTATGCTTTCAGTTGGGAGACTGTACAGAGCCTCGTCGGATTGAAAAAGTTTAATCCCCCGTTTTCCAACATAACCCGTAAAATCAATAGCGGCCAGTATTTTAATAGTATTATTATGTTTCAAGAGAAAATACTTTAACGATATTAATTCAGTCTTTGAAACAAACTTATTTACGTTTACTATGCCGTCCTTTCCCTAAGACACATAGCGCAAGCTTTACGTGGCCCTTGCATTTCCAAAGGTTACTGCCTGTTAACTTACCTGTTGTTTTTATCTAGAACCAATAAATACGCTTAAATTATATTGTATTGTACCAATCCAAGGCCATTTATTTTATTTTATGTGAAAATTTATCCAGCGCATCACCCGATATTATGCGATTAACACCGTCCATGATGTCCATGGGCGGGTGGTAATCACATAATATCGGGTACACACCTGCGGGCTTGCAGATGCATTGGCAACCTATTTAGAAGGCCTCGGTTACATCTCTCAAAGTATAACGCTTCTATCTCACGGAGGGCTTCCGTGAGACCGTGGTTCTTCCCCGGAAATCTGCCCATTCGTGCCGGACCAGTTGAGGGGCCTACTACAGTTGAAATGGGTTTGGGCCATGATTTCGTAATTTAAGACTTAATATCATTACAGGAGACAAACCAGTCCGAACAAACACCTACTACTGAAATGCATCATGATGATGAACCATCTTTAAACTCGCAGCCATCTCATAAAATAGACGAAGAAACTTCCATCGAAGTGACTACCAGCGCTTAAATATACCCATAATTATTCAATATAAATAAAAATATTTTATTACCTTATTCATTTCTTTTTATTTGTACAAAAGATCCTATGAGATGGAATTATAGAACTAGCCTTTAAATACAGCCTCTCACATTGAAGTAGTTCGTGTAACTAATAACAAAACTTGCTACATGTTATGTAGCTTAATAAAGAAAGCAGTTTAACTTTGATTATCGCATAAAAGTAAACTGCTCCCTAAACAACAGCGCCTTTTATTAACATGAAATGTAAATTAAAATTTAAAAACTTGCTTTATCTATTAACGATAAATACAATAGTAGTTATGCTAAAATCTTAAGTTTGGTTTAGCACTACTGTTCGACATTAAACCATTTAATTTAAAAAATAAGGGTAGATTTACATTTCCGGCGCATATGAAGCAGAAATCATAGACAAGGATGATCTATCGGCCATTTTTAAGAAAATGGCGTAGTATTACATGTTGCCCGGGAGGGATTTCTTTATGAAATCTCTGCCGGTCAATATGTAATTAAAAATGTAAATTAAAAAATGTTAAAAGTTTAATTAGCAAATGCACTAAGCAGGTGTAGCTGTAAGATATAATTATTACCCATAACTTTTATTTAGTTTGCTTAACTGAGGGGGCAAATTTGTCCCTTAGCTAAGTTATTTCAGCACTTAAAAAATAATTTACTGGCATTTAAATCATTAAACTGTTTTCAATGATCGACAGCCGCGTCAATGATTGGGTATTCCATATGATCCAGTAATCGACATGTAGATTTTTTAGCAGGAATGGCACCTTAAAAATACACACCTTTTTTAAATGGCAGAAGACCTGTTCTTATTACACAAAGACTATATTATTATAATATATATGATAATTGCTTATCTGTCTATTGCGCCGTTCTCTTAGACATCTAACACAGTCAAGATAAAAAATATAATAACGGCACGAGATGCCGTTAAAGAAGAAGATAAACAGAGTTTGTTTCGAAAAGTGAAATCTTATCTATAGGAAAACAATCCTCAAGAAGAATCATTAGAAAATCTGGCATACAGTAGTGTTTATGTGTATTTTACATGGGTTACACTGAAATTTCTTAGAAAATAATAAAACAGCGCAATGTAGAAAGTTACCGATACTTTTATTGTTGTTCGAAGTAGTCTCCGTTCTTCTCTATATATCTTCTTCACTCAATGGAACCACTAAGAAAAGCAGTGGGTCTATTCGTCCTTTGGGGTCTCTTCTATGCTATTTTCGAACACACTCTCCGCATCTTCAGGGCTTGTAAAGCAAATACCTCGAAGTTTATCTTGGGAATTTATTCTTGGGAATAAAAGAATCTCGCAGGTTGTAAGGTCCCCCCGGGGCTGTAGTTGGGTATATAGTAACTTCACAAAAACGTTTTAAATCAAAAAACTTCTCAATGTCTACATTATCTGTGGTCCAATCAAAGTATAAAACATCTGTACAGTATTTTACATTATTATCGACTGTCGTTGTCATTTTTAATTTCAGAAGTAGGTTTCCAAGATTGTCATAACATGGACGAAATTGAAAAAGAAAAAATAGCAGCCCTTCCATCGCAATTACTTATTACGACAATATGCCACCCAATGGAATATGCGAAAATTCTTATTCAGCTCGGATACGAACCATTGCCACCACGCCGATCTACAACTCTGTTCGGCCGTCCTGCTATGATATTACCTAATGTCTTTCAATATATCAAATTTATTAAGGCATCAGATGGTTATTTTGGATGCTACAGGGGACTGTCGGCGCGAATACTTGGTTTGGTTGCATCTAGTCAACTTACTTCCAAGGTAATCCATGCATGTGGCATCGACCTGCCTGAAATCAGCGATCCACCCAATGTCGTTACTGACGATGAACCGAAGATGGAAGACTACATCAAGTTGGGTCGACGTGATATGATAATGCACACTGCTTCAGTTATAGTATCATATCCATTCCATGTTGTGTCAGTGAGGATGATGGCTTCATTTATTGGTAAAGAAGAGGAATATAGTTCTTTGTTGGGTGCCATTGTGTCTATTTACAAAGATGATGGCATACTTGGTTTCTTTCATGGGCTCATTCCCAAGCTACTAGGTGATTTATCTTGTGTAGCAGCAACAGGGGTTCTGGCATACTACATAAACAAATACTTGGTGAAAACAAAAGACCTCCGCTACTATACTGTACCATTGCTAACATTTGTAATTAGCACTGTGACATACCCTTTGGTTGTTGTCTCTACTTGCATGGCCGTTGCTGGATCTAGCCTTAAAGCAGGCAACCCACCTGCCATGCCTAAATATCCATCATGGCAATCATGCTGGAGGGATTTGCTCCGCAACAAGCAGCACAAACGTGGTTCCTCACTAATTTTCAGGTACTACATTGCACCCATAGCAGCAATGCAGTAATTGCAGAAACATGAATATAACATTGCATTTATCTATTTGTGTTTATTTGCTAAGTGTTATTCCTCAATCACCAAAGTAGAGATTTAACCTTTGTAGACAATTTGAATGTTATATGATAATTGTAAATAAATTTAGTATAACAGGTGTACTGCTTGAGTACTCAACTAGGTTGTTGACAAAAGGTATGGTTATAATAAAATATATTTTTTGTTTGTCATAAGTATTATTATTAACACCATTAACAAAATAAAAATAGACTAAATTATTCTTGAAAGTGATTGAGTTTTAATAAATTCATCAACTAGCTCCTTCTTCAACATAGCTACTGCTCTTCTATAAATTGGTGGTGCAAGTTGAGCACTGCCATTTTGGGTTTCGAAATTAATGTAATCACTCCAAACTTTAATATTATCACCACCATGATGCTGAACTAAGCACTCAAAACACTTTCTGATTTTCTTTAAATTGGGCTTGTCTTGACACATTTCTATTTTTATCATGACCATGTGAACTTCAACTTGTGTTGGTGGAGTTCTAATGAAATCTTCGTACAGCTCCCTAGCCGCTTTTAAACCGCATTTATCAAACATTTTATCAAGCAGCTTTGGTTTAATTGCTAATAAGACAGCATCATCATATTTTAGAAACTTTTTGTAGCAATTATTCACCTGCAAAAAAATTGTAATAAGAAAATTTGAAATCAAGAACAACTAAGTAGGGGGAACAATTACATATAAAATTTTGATTCCCATCCGGAAAATACAACATAATTGTTGAAAAATCTGATTTTGCATATAATACATTTATTTATTTATTTGGAAATAGTTTAATAATCAATTAAAAAGTACTTTCTTAAAATTTTTGCCAAATCATTAGTGTCAGTATAAGATATGATGTTTAAAAATACTATTTATTTGATTTTTTGAAAATCAGTTTGCAGTCTACTGTCTACAACATCAAGATGTTTTTTGTACAATAATTTAGTCACAAATATTGTTATTGTAAGTATAACATTTTATAAATTAAATAGAACACAAATATACATGCATAACAATATTGTTATTATTATCTGATACAAATCTGATAGTTTCACTGGCTTTAGCAAATCAACATGAAGAAATTTTACTAGAACTTGTTATGGACATATTAAAAGAACTTGTGTATGGAGATATTTAAAAAATCAAATTGAAAAATTGCAATAGTGTACTGCCTCAATTGTTTGGAAATTATCCAAAACTAAATAAGCGGAATTGTATTTAAAAAATCACATTGTATTTGAAAAATAACAATACTTACTGCCTCAATTGTTTGGAAATTATCCAAAACTAAATTCCATAAATACAAAGAGTCATTTGGTTTTAAGACCTTTCTAGCCTCCTGCAGGATTGATATTTGTTTCATTTCATCTGATTTATTTAACAATAGCTTTTCTTCCCATATATTTCTTGCCTGTGGATTTTTAGCAAGTGCCGTCTCAATAATCTAAAATAAGGAAGAAAAAAAATTAAATAGCCATGAACCAGTTATGATAATATAAAATATAATATTACTGGTCAACCTCCATAAAGTCTTCAGTGGACAGCTTATTTTCTAACTTTATTACATCTATGCCAAAAGCATACATCTCATTTGACAGCAAACCATTGTTATGGCCATACATCCATGCATGTTTCACAGCATTTATCATTTGCACATCAGTGCATAATGTGTCATTTAACCTTAGTAATCCATGGATAAATTTTGTGCATATTTCTTCATCTGGAAACTAAAAGAACCTTTCAAACCATAATCTTAACATATTCGGGAAGACTTGCTTGTATTTCAAAGAGCCAAGCATTAGATATGGACAGGGTATGTAAATTGAACTACATACACTGCCCATAATGCCCATATTGTATTGACTAACCTGTTGCAATAATTCTTCATAAACACATATATAATTGTTTATTTCTTTTGGAAAATTATAACTTTCATTAATAAACTCCTCAACCTGCTCCCAATGATAACCCTAAAATATAAAAGACATTAAACACAACACAATTAAGATATATTCATAAACAGAAACAATTCACTGTAAAATTATGCATACTTCTAGTTCTTTAGCCGCAATATACTCCCATACATCTTTGCAATGTTTTCGAGACCAAATTTCTTCTTTAATACCACTACTGAATGATTGGTCTATACCAAACTTCATTGATAAGTCACATATTTTAAAAAGAAATGTATGATCCTGCACATTATTAACACCATTTTTCCATACAACTTCAGCTCTTTTAAGGTATTTTTCCTGAAAAACAACAACAGCATGTGAGCAATAATAAACAAATACATAAATAATCCAAAATGATTAGCATTCACACAAGCAATCACAAGAGAATCTAATATTATAGTGATTTACATATCACAATTTTATGCTATTATACCTTTTCTACCTCATCTTGTGCTTGAAAAGCAAGCATAAGTTCTACTTCAAAAAGATCATAATAAAGAATTTCAGATTCTGGATGCCTATGAATTCCTTTAAGCAAAAATTCTCTAGCATTTTCAAAATTTTTCTGTTCTTTTATCTCCCATTTGCTAGCCAATTGCCACATTTTAGGCTTGTCTCCGTGGATCTGCAAAATATCTTGAATTTACATAAATTTACAAAAAGTTGATTACCATATTGAAAAACATACCATATATCAATAACATTTGTTATAAATAATGATAAAGGTGCATACTGCTTACAAGTTCCAGAAATATCATGATGATTTTTAGGCTCCATTATAATATATTCTGAATTATCTATGTTGAAACATAATATAGATATTTTACCAAATATTTCTTTTCTTTAAATTAATAAAAAAATACCTGTAGCATCTGCCCAATAATGCCAGAAACAGCATGGTTAAAACCAACACTGATGCAAAATTTTATATATTCAAAATATATTTCAATATCGTTTTGAAATCTATAAATGAATTGTTTGAAGATCTTGTTCAATCGCTTAGCTATTGCATATTCAATGTCATTTTTTTTATCTGTAACCTTGGCTTGGTTCCTTCTTAACGAAATATCTTCCAATAAAGCTAGCTCGTAAGCTATATAATAGACAAAATCATCTTTTGCTTTTACTCTCCGCTGTATCCTATATTCAAATTCTTTCCTTTTTCTGGATATTTCTCTGAAAATGTTATTGCATATTTAAACATAGAAATACAACATAATAAATCAAAACTAAATTTTAACAACATTTTGACTACAAACTTTATTTCATCGTCTTCATATAAATTCAATCTTCGCATCTGCTCCAATTCATTTATCATTCCCTCAATACGTTGATTTACTTGTTCCGCCATTCTTGATTTTTGGATAAAATAGATTTATTGAAATAAAAATTGATAAGTTATAGTATGTTTGTTTACAGTAGTCAACGTGAAGTTTTTAGGTTATGTGATGACAATTTAAATTAAAGACATTCAGGAAAGTGTTACCAATACCAAAATAAATCAATAATCCCCCAACCACATGGTATTTTGGCCTAAAGCTAGGTGTAGTTAAAATACCACAGTACCACAATAACAGTTTGTTACCATGGTACCACGCAATGGTTTTCACTATTGTACGAATGGGCAAGTCCGTCCTACGTCCGTGTAAGTAATAAGTACCACGACCTCACAGAGACCGGCATAAAGTAGAAAGTGTTTTGCATTTCTGGTTTAATCTATTTTAAATAAAATAAGGATATGGGGAAGATTTTTAACAGTTACTTTTTACCCTTTCAACTGTATATAAAAACACTAAGGTTTTTAAGAACTTGTAAGTGTAGTTTTATAATTACATATTTTTAACATTCAACATTCTCTAATCCCAAGCTAAGCAACACTTGCACTATGAGTAGGTACTAGATAAGTTAACTGATAAACATACTTTTCTTTTATAAATAAGACTTTCTTTTTAAGAAAAGTTACAACTGTTGAGCTTCTTGCCTTTCTCTTCTCAACAGAAAATGCTTTCCGAACCAGTGGTAACTTACAAAGTTAAGTGCTAATATTTATATAAAATTCGATGTTTCATAAGAACGCGCAAGTGTCTATTTGAATAAAGATATTTTGAGTTTAAATTTGAAAATAAATCCATATCATAAATATATAAATACCCAGTGACTGGAAAACCCTGTTTATCACACAATATTTTTCTAGTAGTGGGGATCGAACTTCATGAGTAGCAATTGCTACGGATCCCAGTAGAAAGCGAGCCCCGCCCGACTGTTTTTTCCAATTGTTAGTTTCTTATCAAAATTATTCTAAATTATCAGGCAATCTCATCTTCGGCTTATACTTGTCAGAGCCTAGCAGGGCCTATAGTAATTTACTAGCCTATTAATTGCCCACAAAATTGTAACCTATAGATGGCAAGAGAGTATTGAATTGTTTTTTATCACTTTATATCTAAGAACCCATAAGAGATCGAGGGCACTTTGAAAGAATTTGCTACCCCCGTGCTTGCTTAATCCGGCACTGCCTCTAGCGCAGAGGCAGGTTCCACTACCCACTACACCAATCGGGTCGTCGATTAGTCGTCGCCAGATAAAAAATGAATCACAGTATTAGACACATAAAAATTAAAAGAATTGCTTAATTGTGAAAACTTTTAATGTCATTGATAAAACCTATATTTACAGTGCATAAAAATCATAGAGCAATTTTAAATAATATTAATTGTATTAATTGCATTCAAATATAAATAAAAATTGAATCATATTGAACATTAGATATCATCTGGCTGTGAGTTTTGTAACCCCACCTTCACAATGTTCTATAACACCTCTACCCTTGAAACAAGTCAACCATGTTTTGGAAAACAGTCTGAAGCTTTCCCTTTCTTCATCAGATTTTAATACTGGTATGACATTAATTTCTGGAATGCATCTTCCAAAATCAATAGCAGGCAACCAAACTTGAAAGTCAGAGTCGGGAGAAAACTTAAAAATATCATGACATCCTTCAAGATTTATCTGTGGCACTGGTGGTTGACGCTGTAGTAATTTCTTCAATGTGATAAATGTTAGCATGTTGTCTTTTAAAGCAAGTGATTGCAAATGCTTTGCTCTACTAAGACTCCTGAAATATAAATTTTATAACATTTCATAAAATGAGAAAACAAGGTAATATTGTAATAGGTTAATCACGATTTTATTTTAAAATGCAAATTTTTTCAAGTACATTGAATTACCATTTCATTAGCATTCTTGTTCAATGGCTCTTATGAAGATACATTCATATGACCATTATAACGGCACTATCACTGCTTACACTCTACTGCTTACACTCTAGTGATGAACTTTGACACATTAAAGATACTGACCTAAATATTCTCATAAATTGTCCGTCCACCAATTTACTGTTCGACAAACCAAACCGTCGTAACTTCAAATCCTTCGCCGAATCCAAAAACGTCGCAATACTTCCGACCACATTCCCCTCTACGCCAATATTGTCCAATTCGATATCCACCACGTTATTCGGACTTAAAGAAGTCATTAGGCAACTCACCATCACTTGCTTTAAATCATTGTTACTAAAATCAATTGATTCAATACAGTCGAAATTCTTTAAATTATTAGGTTCACTCATACTATCATGAGTTATTCCACAAGTATTTAACTTGAGCACTTTTAACCTTATATGTTGTGTGATTTTAGTTATACACTTGAATCCAATGTCTCCTATTGGGTTGTAACTTATTATCAATTCATCTAAAGCCTTGCAGACTGGACGTGATGATTTCTCGAATCCGTTTAGTAGAATCTTCAATCCCTTTTCCGTTATGTTGTTTGAACTGATATCTAAATGAGATAAATATTTCATTGTGCATAGAGCATCAGTCAGATACTTCATTCCATCATCTCCTAAGTTGTTTTTTGCTATCATTATTGCTGTGATATGTGTTTGGTGGCTCAGAGCTCTGAACAATGGACGAATTTGTAGGGGAAATAAGGTATTTGCACCTAGTGCAAGTCGGCGAGTAGTGTGACTTCGGCCTACCGCATGTTGAATTTCCTGTGATGGAGCTGTGAAAAACGAAGATAGTTACTAGTTAGTAAGAATGAATTTAATAGTTAGTAAGAATGAATTTAACAGTTAGCTAATTAATTTAATAAGTAGCTACCAATACTTACAATGTAAAATCTAACTTTTAAAAAAATTCGAATTCTAATAAACCTAGCCCACATGGAGTGGTCCTAAGAATGCCAGAAAGCTTCAATTCTGAATGATTATGCTTAATTTTTGAGAGAGATGAGAAATTTTTCAAATAGTGTAATATGATTTTATAAGGTTCAATAGGATATCCACTTTTTTATATTTCAATAAATATTAGTAACTCTTGTCAAAAAATAAATAAATTAAATGTTTGTTATGACAAGATCTTTCTTTGATGTAAGCCCTTCACATTAGGAAACTAGTTTAAGCATAACTTTTAGCAAATATATACATAATTATAATGTAGTCACTTACAGATTACTAAGGCCTCGCAACATTCCAAATAACGTTCTTCAGCGGGTGATGCCTTCCAATTGCTAATACACGTCTTTAGCTCAGGCGAAGCTAAAACCAAGCTCAGGGGATCGTCCTCAGAAAGTATGGCACCATCTGACGTCATAAGGCTGAATACCGGCCTTACTCCAGTTAACCTACGAAAAAATATTTTTTTTATGAGAATGTGGCAAACGAGCTGGCGGTTCACCTAATGTTAGGTGATAACCCCCGTCCATGGATATTTGCAACACCCGTAGGGTCGCAGATGCGTTGACACATTTTATTAAATGGGTCCCAGTCACTTCACCAGACAAAACACAAAAGTGCAACAAAATATGTAATTTTTCAACACACATCATCAATTACAAATTAAGTTATTTTTACTCACTTGTAATATCTAGACTTTACTTCTTCAACCAGCCAGCTGATTGTTAGCTTGTTAATTGTGTCCAATTTTATGGAAATAAGGAAAACCTTATCCTCAACATGAACCTTAACAGCTGCGGGAGGTAATATTTGGGTCTGCATTGCCTTCCCATTTTTCGATTGCACAATATTAATTGGTTGCACCATATTAAGTGGTTGTAATATATTCGGATTTAAATTTTGAACAATATTAAATCCATCATTCAAATTGGTATTAAAATTTTCTGCTGACGAGTTCCGAGAAAACTTTCCAGAAGTTGTAGAATATTTTAAATTTATAGATGTGAGTTCACTGTCGCTACCACTGTTGCTTGATTGATCTAAACTGTCTCTCTTTCTCTGAAATCCTGCTCTTAATAAAGTGCTCTGCCTTTTCCATCTTCTTCTCATGCTGTCTCTAGTATCCCTTGGTTTCGACTCACTTAAATCTCGAGTAAAATATGTCATAGGCTCTGTGGAATAATTTTTGGGCGCAACATTTTCATTTCTTAGAAGACTATCGGAATCGGAACTGTTTTCACTAATATCAATGACGTCGCTAACACGCGTTCTTTTATGCCTCATGTTATTGTTGATATTATTTTCCATAAGCGGTTCAATTCTATTAATGTTTTCAATACTTTCTTTAATACTTTCACAGGAAGATTTTTTTGACTCGATAATAAATGGATCACACAATTTTCTCTTCTTGTTCTTGTTTGTAGTTCCTAAATCGTCATCTAACCAGTCATCATCAATTTCATCTGGATGTAACAGAGCTGATTTTGGTTTTGATTTCTTAACATCCACTTCTGGTAAATCTATGCTTCTATTTCTTAAGGCAGATATTGCACTTCTATACTCTTGGACTCCAACACTTTTTTTATTTTTTAAAGCAACATCATCAGAAGAATCATTTGAGTCATCTGATGGAAAGGCGGTTTGGTTTCTTACATTCTGAGACATGTTAATGTCGTCATCACTATCATCATCTATGATATTTCGCCTTTTAAACACGGGAGACCTTAATTCCTTATTTCTACTACTCATTTTTGAGGTACTAGGCGGAGTCTTGTCTTTTATGGGTTTAACTGGTGTTTTAGATTTTGACCTATTTAGAGTTAACTCTGAGCCAACAGTCTTGTCGATAAAGTTGTGAATTTTATTGCAGATGTTGTTATACAAAACTTCTTCATCTTTAGTTAAAATAGTACCCGCCCGCCATTTCTGAAGAACATTTAGTGGCGTGTCTCCGAAGTCGGTTTTTAGTGATGGTATGGCACCTTTATCAAGTAACAATCTCACGACATCCAAGTGACCATTGCTTGCAGCATCATACAGAGGTGTGATACCTAAAATTATTATTAAAAACATATTGAAATATTTTGATTGAGCTTCATACTATTCCTATCTATTCAAAAAAGCAAAGCAAAAAAATCGTGTTTTGATAATACTGGAGTTTACATCAATTAGTTCAAGAACCGTTATCACTAATATGAATGGCTAATATGCGTTCTTTTATGCCTCATATTATTGTTCCCCCCTAACTGTTACTATAATATAAAAAAAGGAACTTACCATCACAGTTAGCCCCACCTCTGTCATTAACGTTGGCACCATTGTTGATTAATATATTAGCAACTTCCAAATTCCCATGGATGCATGCTTCATGTAATGGCAACCAGCCAGCATTGTCTCTCACATTCACCGGATGACCTTTTGCAAGTAATCTCTCTACTAGCAATTTGTTACCTGATATACATGCCTGGATAAAAGATATAAATTATTAAGAACAAGTTGTCCATTCTTTATTAGAAACAGAATATATAAATCATCTTTTCTCATTTGTAATTTTCATTAAAATGCTAAAATTAGTTTGTACACTTACAACATGTAATTGTGTTTCGCCTTTCATGTTCTTTTTTATAGCAAAGCCTTTACCTCTTCTTCTGCTCTCTCTTTTTGTCTCCATTACATCTTCATCATTATTATCAGAAAGATCTAAAACAAAATAATAAAGTAGAAATATAAACAGTGTGACAATACAAAGCTATCAGTCAATTAACCAAGGACCCATGGTCCCGTGATATCGAGAAAAATAAATTCACTTCTTTTTTAATGACTTTACAATCTTTATTGATCTAATATTTACAAGATTAAATCTATCTAAAATTACATATTATCTAATAAACCTAATCCACCAAGAAAATCCAGGCATGGTTCCAAGAATGCTAGCTGCATTTTCTCGCTGAATAGTTATGCTTAACCTTTGAGCGATAAAAGAACCAGCTCTCTTGTCACCAGCCGCGGCGTTAAGCCTGAGACATAAACTTTAAAAAAATTTGAAGTGCCGGGACCCCACGGACCTAAAGTTTCAACAGCAAATGGCACAAATACATAATCTAAACATAAAGACTCATATTTGCGCCATTTACTTACTTCAGCTGCCTCCGATGCCGCCCCGGCCCTGACCGAAGTACTCCTTAGATGAGAGGCAGCCAAAGTGTCTACACAAGTGGCAAGTTTAATGTCTAATGTTACCTGTAAGATCTTCAAGACATATATCATCACCAATATGAGTTGTATCTTCATCACAACCACCGGCGGAACTCTGTTCATCCTCAGAATTCTCTAGATTGTCAAAATTGTCGTATCCTAGAGCTCTTAATTCCTCCTTAGTTTGTTCCATTCTATCAGTCTCAAAATATTCCTCTTGATATTTTAGTAGGTTCTTTAACATTCTTATTTCATATTTCTTTTTATTCCAATCTCTGGCCTGAAATAATGCAATGTGAAAAAAAATTGTGGTATCAAAAGGGCCATGAAGAATTATACAGGGAGGCTTTTTAAGTGTATTCATTTTCTTTTATTAAATTCTAGACGTAAATATTGTTATATAAAAAATGATAAATATTTAAAATCACTCGTAATTAATTAATTACAATCATTTGAACTTATCTCAAAAAGCGCGTGATTTATGGGCAACTCATTTATTTTACTCGCGATCATTCATAACTAACACGCATGCAAGTTCGTTTAAAATATGTATTTTTGAAAAAAAAAAAGTTTGTTTTTATTTCAATAAACGATTACTATTATACTACCGAGTCTGAACCTCCTGTGTGAATTTGGGCATCTTTAGAAAAGCCACCTGTATACAGCGTGTCGTTACCATCGCGACAATAAATGAACACACGTCTAACGCTACTTGCCAATAATCATAAAAAAATATGAAAGTTAAACAAAATCCATAATTAAAAAAAAATATTTTTCAAACAAACTAATTAAGTAAAAAAGAAACAAAATTTGTAACATCCTATGCAACTCGCGCCATAGCGTCGCCTTACAATATACAAGCCTCTCCTTCTAACAGTATGTTTTGTCTCTTTTAAATTCATTCAACCCATTCATATGCTTTGTGACCTTTACAAATGAACTTTACGTTACTGTTTTATACATAAGGATGTTCTAAAATTGTTTGTTTTGGAAAATTTAATAACTCTGTAAATATTGATGTTTAAAGAATGTAAATGTTTAATACAATTTAAAAAAGTTATCCTCTATATGTGTGTTCATTTATTGTCGCGGTGGTAACCACACGCTGTATAAGACATTGCAGCCAAATTACAAGTTCAACTTACTGCATTTCTGGCATTAAGACATGCCTTCTCAATAACATCATATGGTTTTTTTGCTAAATACAACACTTCAGCAATATTACTTAATGTTGTGTAAGCTTCTTTAGGGATATCTTTAATTAATTCATATTCTTTGTCATAGTACTGCAATGCTTCATTATAACAACCCATATCTTTGTAGGTTTGATACAAGCTAAAATAAATATGTAAAAATTTGTAAATGCCCAGTGGTTGAAATTTGTTTATAATTATTTTGTTTTTAAAACTCAGTTACAGCATCATAATCATTATCCTGCTCTTATCCCAGGTGGGATCGGCACAACATGTTCTCTTACGACCAGCGCCTGACGTCAACCCTCTTTGGGAAAAAAACACCAAGGACCTAAATAATTATCTGTGGATAACACAAATACGTGTCCCTTGTGTGAATAGAACCCTTGACAACCAGCACCGAAGCCAATAGCTTAGCACCACGAATTCATGAAAACTCAGTCACTACATATTGTAATTAAATAGAAACCATACCTACTATTATGATTAGATTTTAGGTTTCTACTCTTCTTTGCTGAATCAAGTATCATATCCCAGAACGGGAGTATGTTTCCATCACATATGAATGGCATAATTTATATAATACATATATTAGTTATTGTCAAAAACTTTGCGATTACATTGTATGAATTTAAATTCTTTTAGATTTGTTTTCTATGTGAAAATTTGACAAGCTGTTTTCTTCCATTGAACTGATGTTAATTGATTACTGCCACCCATGGTCATATACAACCAACAGCTGCATTAAAAAAGTAGACCCTAGTTACCTCACTCACTAAAAGGAATGTGAAAGTATAATACTTTACGCCTTCTGTGAGACCATGGTACTTTCCCCGAAGAGCCAGCACATATGTGCAATAGCAGAAACTTCTGCCACCATCCCATATTAGATAATTAAATAGTCTCAACAGAAGAAAGAATTGGATAAGCAAGTATGTTTAACTTCAACATAAATATATTTGCAAAGATATCTCTCTCTTACCTGACATAAATGGGTATTAAGGTCTTCCCACAGTCGCCTAATAGTTCTGCATGATCTAACATCTTTAAATAATAATCCACTGCACCGGAATAGTTCCGAAGGTGACATGCACCATCTCCAAGCTTTTCGTACAACTTTTTGAAAGTGGCATGATCAGAAGGGTCAGTTGATATGAGTAGGTCTTCTGTGTAACACATTGCTGCGACTTAAATGTAAAACAGATATTATGTAATGCCATAAAATTTTAATGTATGACAATGATACTGATGATAATCAAGAATAACTAAAAACATTTTTGCACAATGAATACAAATTTGATAAAAATTAATACAACAGTATTGAAGCCTTTGCATAGACTATGTAGTTTATATCTAAATTCACAGAATTTGGACATAAAGGAGACATATTTCGTCAATCTTTTATTATTTGTTTTGTTAAAATATAATTTTTAACACCAAGATATTTAAGAAACAAAGATCTGGACTAATCCAGATCTTGGCTCTAAAGCCAAGAGAACCTCTAAAATTTGCTATACATAAGCAATGATGTTTTAATAAAGATGACGCGAGTTCAAAGCGGCGGACGCCATACGCCCCAGTCTATGTAGTAAGTTTTAGCCACCCCTTTCTCAGCACCCATCATAGAGTACATAACTATATTTTAAAATTTTATTGAAATGAATTCAGAAATTTAGTTAACTATAATGTCTGCTGTTTATAATATTTGCCAAGGTTTCAGGGATAATTGCACATTTAAATAACAAGTTTTTAGATTTTATAATTAATGTAATTACAGATTTATTCTCATACAAGATAAGATATAGCAAGCTCTCCTTCACTTAAACTCAGCAAAATCATTAATTAAATCTTCATCTTCTATATCTATACGACGCATTTATGAATGACTACCGCAATGTGAACAAGTTCTGTTTTATAGGGAATAGAATGGCATTTTTTTTTAAAAAAAAGTTTGTTTTTATATCAATAAACGATTTTACTACTGAGTCTGAACCTCCTGTGCAAATTTGAGCACCTTTAGAAAAGCCACCCTGTATATAGGAGACATTGTTCCAAAAAATTTTCTTTCTAAGTTGGTGGAATAAAGTAATGGTTTGGTCTTTTCTTTACTTCTGACGCGCTTAGTTTCATCAAGTTAGTAATAAAATTAAAATGGTATATTATCAAGTAATTTATTTGAATTCAGTCATGTTTTGAATTCTTCTGACATTACTATAGTCTAGACCCAGACTATAGTCCTGGGCTGTCGTAGAAGGCGACTGAAAAGGGACGTTAGATTGGGTTCACGGACCAGCAGAGGTACGAAGTGGTTTCGTCGTAAGATGCGGAATTGGGAAGGTTTATCCTTTTCCGAGGCTTACTTGTGTGTAGTAGGATATCTCGGAGACCCTTCAAATATACAGAGGTTGGCCACCAAGGGGGTATTAGCTGGTACGAACCCAAACCCTATCATGTGAGGGATGACTGGGTATCGCGATGGTATGCAGATTCCCCCAATAAAAGTAAAAATACCAAAAAAAGGCAGTGTATGTGATCACGAGCACAACCCTTGCGGCAAGCAAAGACGTTCGCAGTATGTCGGTATTGCCATTGTTTTTAAGGCTCGCGCGTATAACAATATTATTCCTTAATCACTTATATATATGGAATAATTACTTAAAATTATATTTAGGTACTTTGAGTTATTTCTTGTGATTGATCACTGAAATTTTTGTCACGATTGGCTGCAGCTTTACTTTATTATATAACAAATATATTATGTGAATATGACAGATGATAAGGAAAGAGGTAGCAGTCTATAGAATTGCATTTGACATAACTATAGCCATAGATAGACCAAATAGATTAGAAATACACCTATTACCGTAATATAAATGCCTAAAATAATAATAAAATATCTTTATTCACATAGACGCTTGCGCGTTCTTATGAAACGTCAAAATTTTACAAGAAATCAACATGTTCGTAAGTTACCACCTGTTCGGAAAGCAGTTTCTGTTGAGAAGAAACCGGCAAGAAACTCAACAGTTGCTCTTTTTTAAAAAACAGTTTACAATATAATAGTACAGGTACAATAGTCTTGTTTTAGCCTACGTGAGTATCAACAGTATTAACCCCACACATTGGCGTCGTCAAGATATTCGGCAATAGTATAATAGGCTTTAGCCATAAGTGTACTTTTAATTTATTCGTTTAAATTCATCAAGTGACAGACTTAACATCGACTGTGGGATTTTATTATACATGCGCACACTTTGCCCCATGAACGATCTGTTTACTTTTTGTAGGCGAAATAATGGCGTAGTTAGTTTGTCCTTATTTCTAGTATTTAGTTTATGCCTGTCACTATTCTTTTGATAATTATTAATATTCTGTTTAACATACAAAATATTACAATAAATATATTGAGACGCAACAGTGAGTATATTAATCTCTTTAAAAAGATCTCTGAGTGTATTCCGGGCTCCGATGTTATAAATTGCTCGGACAGCTCTTTTTTGAATAATAAATATTGAATTTATATCAGATGCACTACCCCACAACAAAATGCCGTACGACTAGATGCTGTGAAAATAACTGTAGTAAACAAGTCTGGCAGTGTCGATGTCTGTTAGCTGCCTAACCTTCCTAATTGCAAAAACAGCGGAGCTTAACCTATTCGCAAGAGATGATAGATGGGGACTCCATATACTAAGAATAATAATGGGCCCAAGATCGATCCTTGTGGGATACCCATTTTCATGGGGGACCCTGCGGAATTTACATCATTTATAGATACTTTTTGAATTCTATTATTAAGGTAAGAAGCAATGAGATTGAGGGCGATGTCACGAATGCCATAATAATCAAGCTTTAGAAGGAGGGTTTTGTGATCCACGCAGTCGAAAGCTTTTGAAAGGTCGCAAAAAACACCTATTGCATCTTGCGACCCTTCCCAGGCGTTATAAATATGTTTGACAAGTGCGATACCCGCATCTGTTGTCGATCTGCCTTTAGTGAATCCATATTGCTCATTGTGAAAAATTTTGTTCATATTAAAATGTACTAAGAGCTGATTTAAAATTAGTTTTTCAAAAATTTTACTCAGAGATAGCAATATGGAGATAGGTCTGTAGTTTCCTGGATCATTTTTATCCCCACTTTTGAAGACGGGGATTATCTTACTAAATTTCATAAGATCTGGAAATATTCCGGATTCTATACAGTTGTTAAAAATATTAGCTAAATGTAGTGTCATATCTTCCTCGTATTTGTATATAATATCATTGGTTATAAGCAAATAAAATAATTATGTAAATTATGTACATAAACTTACCAACTTTCAAATTACATTCAATATTCTCCCTTTCTTCATCATCAGGAGTATTAAGTTTCCAAGCCTTCATTAGAACTTGTTTAGCACTCTGATAGTCGGACATCTTGCAAAGGATATCTGCTTTTGCTGACAAAGTCTCACATGTCTTTAGAACCTGCAGCATAAAGGGTTACCATAATCTTGAAGCACTTAGTTTATTATGTATTTGTATTATTTAGTTTAGTTTTATTTTTGTTTTTTTTTTTTTTTGTTATTATTTCGAAATAATGCAGGTTTCCTCACGATGTTTCACCGCGGAGCACGTGATAATTCAGCACTTGAAATTAACAATTTCATTGGTGCCCGCACTGGGGATCAAACTCAGGTTGCTCAAGTATATTGTAGCAGTATAGTGTAGTAAATGCTGGCATATCACATGCTCAGCAGTGAGGGAAAACATTAGAAACAGTAACTAAAAAAAAAATTTCGAAGATGTGTAAAGTCTGCCAATTCACTGTAGGGTCACATGGTGGACTATGCCATAACATCCTGTGCATAGGAGACCTTTGCCCAGCAGTAAAACATATGTGTATATAGGCTGTTATTTGACTTTACTTTTACATTCTAGGACTATGCTCTATAACCATGATGCTATAGTTATTAAATAATCTGTCACACTGCTTATAGTACAACAATATTGATTAGTTCACTTAATAACACCAAATAAGTTCAGTTTCTTATAATTACCTTATCTTCAAGCCTACTAGCAACTTCTAAAGCTTTATTCAAGCAACTAAGAGCCATTGCAAAGTCTTTTTTCTTATTACTGTACAGTGACGCTTCAGTTGCATAACAGTTATGCAAAATATCATGCAAGTCCTGACATGAACAAATTGTTATTGCCTTGTTTATACAATCTATGGCCTTGTCCAGGTATCCGAGATGTTCTTGTACCACACCAATGTTTAGGAGCAAACGGGCACGCATGTCTAGAAGCTCATTCTTTGTGATTTTGCCATTTAATCTGGAATATTTTAAATTATTTTGTTAAAAACATTAACATTCTTCTAACGGTAAGGAACTAATATTACAAGTTAAGAAGAGATATAATTGCGAAAAAAATCTTGGAAAAGTATGCTGCTACAATATTAGATTTCATGAAGCCTTATAATTGAATTTAAAATTTTTGATGTGGAACCTCTAAAAATCATGCATACAGTAACAAAAAAGGTCTATCTTATTTATAAAACTTAGAAATTATTGTCAGCACGGGCATATTGTATTTTTGTTTATAGCTTTATATCTGTTTATAGTTTGTATCTTATTTAGACCAAGTAATTCCAGTTTTAGACTCATCAATTCAAGTCATAACAAGTAAAATTTTGTTTTCATTTAAATCTCAAACACTAAATATACCTTGCTGACATAGTTGTTTCATATTGGAACCTCTGGCTGTGTTTTTCTAAATTATCATTTTCTATAGTCTCCTGCCCCCAACTTAAATTTATTTATGTATCCACATGTGAAATTTTACCCATCCTTATGCAAATTCGACTTCACAGTTATCATTCTGTCCCATCTTTCACTTTAATCTGAGATATTTTTGTAATTTTTATTCAGATTTTATTATACATAGTTTTCTTTTCAAAACATATTACAGAGGAACTGCGATATTACGAGCCTCAACGTAAAGATTTCTTGATTTAACAATTTTTACAAAATCCACTAGAACTGTCCATAAGAGCTAATACAAAATATACCTTTACATTATGAATATATTAATCTTAAATTCTTTTTATTATGAATTTGGAATAATTGCAGCATACATAGGAAACATTAACCTAACTCCATTTTATGAATTTTTCAACCAATAACCTTTACATACCATATCCCACTAATTCCCACTTAGTTGTACAATAGTAATTCATGTTTCAACAGCTTCAGACATGTTAAAACCGTTCGCTTTACCAAGGTAAGCAGATGAGAATGTGCGTAATGTTGAGGTTAATAAACAAGTTTTTTTTACCTCACTAAAACAAATCACAGTCCAATCTAACCTCTGTACAAAAACCCTCATTGTAACCAAGTATGCGCTATAATGAATATTTTTCAACTCCCTTGAGTCTTGTTATATCGCATTTGCACTGTACCTAATTAAAACACAATCACATCTAACACTATTGATGAGAAACAAAGAAATATTATATTACACTTTTGCTTACTTTTCACACAATACTAGACTTTTCATGAAAGCTTTTTCAGCAGCAGTCAATGAAGTCTTAGCTTCATTTTCTTCATTACAACTCTGGCCCTGTAGCAAATATATACGACCAAGTGTTGCCATGGCTCTTTGTTCCTCCACAAGATTGTTTAGTTCCTTTGCTACAGCTAAAAATAAAAATAAACTTAATATTTTTTGATTACTTTAAACAATATATTTGTATTAAAAAGTTACAGTATATAAAATCATAATATATTGAAAACCATCCACATTCATTGATTTTTATAATTGTATAACATACCTAAATGTCGCTCTTCATATCTAAGAGCTTTGTCAAATTCTGCCATCAACATGTACATTTCACCTATCATCCGATTGCAAGTGCCCCATTCCATACGTAAGCCCAATTCCTTAACCACAGTTGCTTCATTTTTATACTCCTCAAGAGCATCACTATAACGATGGTGTTTGTAGTAAAACGTCGCCAAGTCGTTACACACTTCAGCTAAGTTACGTCTATTGCTTCCATTTAAAGCTTTTTTTTTCTTACGTATTAACTCTAAAATAAATAATATTTAAAATCAAAACAATAAATAAAACAAGTTTCTTTTCTTTTTGCCCCAATTGTATACTTACTTTCCTCTTCCATATCACTTTAATGTTAATGAAAGAATGTCACATATTTTATAAAAAAAATCAATTAATTTATAAAAAATCGATGTATATAGTGCTTGTTAATTTATATTTTATAATACACGATATTTACCACGTAACTTTGATTTGACAATAATCAAATTCATAGCATAGCCAAGCGAATGCTGATTTTGTAAGTGTCAAATGAAGAAAATAGTAAAATGGCGGGATGGCATTGTAAGCGTTCGGAAATTTAATGTTAATCATTTGATACATGAAAACTTAGGCACCATAATATTATACATTGAATATTTACAAAATGTAACTTAAATAAGTTTCTTTTAGAAAAATATTACACAATTACTTCCAACTTTTTAATATATGTTATTGCGTTATTTCATTGCTGCTAAATTAAAACTGTATTTCTGCACATGACTTCTGGCTTTCATATGTATTTTTTTTATCAGAAACGGGGCAAATAAAGATTCATAGCGCAATGAAAAACTGGACATAAACGGTTTTCTTTTTAGTTTATCCATATAAAAATTAACATTTTTGAAGTTATACTTCTTTTTGGCGTGTTAGGGAAAAATGATGTAAATTTTTACGATGCGCGCGCTCCCCGTCACAAAAAACCGACACCATGAACATCTACCTATGTTTGCGTGAGAACTGTATTCACGCTATTTATTTTGTGATATTTAAATAATCTTTATTTAACTAGATAACGTTATAATAAAACTTTCAATGTATTAAATACCTTTTTTTCTATTGTTAGTGTCGTTTTTGCTACAAACGTAGAATAGAAACAAGACAACTGATAGGGTGGACGGCTTTAGCAATTAATTAAAACGTAAATAATACTTGAAAACATTGTGTTTTCTTGTATATGAGAAAATATAATATTCATACATAATGACACCGCACATCAAAAGTAAAAAAAAAACTCCAATTTCAAATTCAGTGCATCATAGACTATTTATGCTTGGACAGCATCACGACCTTCCAACAGTTACGCCAAAGAAGTATAACTTCTAACGCGTGTACATAAGACTATTTTCTTACTTTCACACACACACACACTTTTTTTTAATATTGATGAAAAATAATATTTATCCGGATATACCTATACACGCGGAAGCACGTATGCACTTGCTAATTAATACACAATTAATGTTTTTAATCGTAATTTGTAATCCATACTAAATGTCTTGAAGTATAAAAAGTTGCTTTTTACAGTCTTATTTAAAATTACTTGGCTCAATAATGTAAATCCAAATTGGTTTTAAGTTTTAGTAAGATGTATATATTTTTAAAAAAGTGCTGTGGATTTTGTTCAATAAAAATCAAAATAAAATCATAAAAGCGGGGGCGGGAACCTTGAAAAATTGGTTGGTATGTGGAAATGTTTTATTTGTTTCAGTGCTTTTAATAGTATCTAACTTCTGGGGGGAAACAGGTTTGTATGGGATTTTTATTCACTTAAGTTCGATGGCCATCTGCAGTGCGTTGTGAGTAGGGAAACTTCACAGTATTACCATGGCAACCTATAACTGTGGTAGGCCATGACCTCACAGAAGACTGGCGTGAAGTGGAAGTGTATGCTTCTGCGTTTTGTCCGTTGAATAAGGTAGCCGGGGTCCATTTTATTAAAATGTGGCCATGCATCGGCAACCCTACGGGTGGTGCAAATGTCCTTTGGCAGCGTTATCATCAGGTGAACGACCAGTTTGCTTGCCACCTTCTGACATATTTTTTTAAGTTAATCGGTTTTATTGAAAATAAAGATTAAATGATTTATACAATGTATTAAAAGCTAAAAAATAATTTGCCAGGTCCTAGATACTAGTCATCACACCACTTTTCTCATGAATGCGGTCAATCTTTCGCTAAATATGAGTTTTTAATATACTAGTTATTTTTGTTTTTATCGTAAATTTCGTAATTTTGTCTTTTTAATTACCTTATTGTGAAAGAAAATCTTCCGGATAGATTAACCCAAAGGATATTTGTATTTCAACCTGAGGGGAAATTCCATGTCACGTTTACAAGGATGCCATCCTCGCTTTTGACGTGTCGCTTACGTCGTGTTGTATTAATATTTTAATTTGATAATAAGTACGTTAATGTCGTCGTTGCCTAATTACCTACGTAATAAATTACGAAATTTTTAACTTTTGTAGATTAACGGTCTTCCTGAATTGATATGCAAATCAAGGGCGGATCCAGCTTTGGTGCCAGGGGGGAGGGGGTCACTGGGGGGTAGCCGTGGTCAATTGATAGGAAGTTATAATTTAATTATTATAATCATAGATACAAGTAAAAAGTAAGTATTTTAAACGACTTCAAAAAGAAGGATGTTATCAATTCGGATGTTTACATTTTTTTTATGTATGTTCGGGCATAACTTATATAGACTTTCGATACTATTAAAAGCACTGAAACAAATAAAACATTTCCACATACCAACCAATTTTTCAAGGTTCCCGCCCCCGCTTTTATGATTTTATTTTGATTTTTATTGAACAAAATCCACAGCACTTTTTTGAACAAAAATAAACGAGTTATTAAACCATGGATAACTCCAGGGATCCTGCGCTGTATTCGAAATAGAAATATAATGCAACAAAGACTTCGACGTAATCCGTACGATGAGATTCTTTTAATTACATTTAAAAGATACCGTAACTTTTGCAAAAAGTGGGTAAAAAAATTAAAACGTGATTACGAACGACAATTTTTGCTTGACTCTAGAAGAGACGCTAAAAGTCTCTGGAATAATATTGCTACAATTACTCATTTAAAAAAGACGAAATGTAACACTTCAAAATTAGCTAACATCAAACTTAACATAAATGATTCGGCAGACTATATTAATTCGTATTTTAGTAGTGTGGGAAAAAACCTTGCAGATGCTATTGGTAAATCTGACGCCGATGGGCCTATGATTGGTCCCTCTACTCCTCCGCAGCCCTCCTCCTTTGTGCTGTTTGATGCTGATATGGATGAAGTCCACAGCACCCTTATGAGCCTTAAAACAAATAGCGCTCCTGGCCGAGACAAAATACCTACAGGGTTCCTTAAACTCGCGAACTCTGAAATTGTACCCATAATTACCCATCTTACCAACCTCTGTTTTAGCACAGGAATCTTTCCATCTCTACTTAAAGAATCGCTTGTAACACCAATTCACAAGAGTGGTGATGAAGAGGACATAAGCAACTACCGACCAATATCGATTCTGCCATCAATATCCAAAATATTAGAGAAACTTATTAACAATAGACTTTTAAACTACTTGAATAAATTTAACATACTTTCAAACTCACAATTTGGATTCCGTAAAGGTAGATCTACTGAAGATGCTGTGGCAGTGCTGACGTCTGTGGTTGCTGAGAGTCTTGATAATAAAAATAAATGCCTAGCCGTATTTTTGGACTTAAAAAAGGCTTTCGATACTGTCTCCATCCCCATTCTTGAGCAGAAATTGGAACACTTTGGAATCAGGGCCACTCCTTTTGAACTACTTAAATGCTATCTGAACGGTAGGTCTCAGAGAGTTAAGCTAGACCAAACAGTGAGCAGTGCTGCTAGTGTAAACTACGGCGTCCCGCAGGGAAGTGTGTTGGGACCAACCTTGTTTTTGCTCTACATCAATGACCTTTGCAATATGATGATCCCACACTCTAAGATATTCTCCTACGCAGATGATACCGCTATGGTCTTTACTGGATGTTCATGGAACGACGTAAAGAAACATGCTGAACAAGGATTGATGAAAGTTGCTGAATGGTTAAATGTTAACTTGCTCACCCTAAACACCTCTAAAACTAACTTCATGTGTTTCTCAATCAATGATAGGTATCAGCCAGACTTAACGTTTGAAATTAAAATTCATCAATGTGATTATCCCCTCAACTCAAACTGTACATGCCCAGTCATTAATAAAGTCAAATCAACTAAATATCTTGGAGTTATGTTAGATCAACGACTTAATTGGCATAATCACATTGAGTTAGTATCTTGTAGGTTACGAAAACTGATTTGGGTTTTTAAGGAGCTGAGGCATATCGCTGACCAATCACTATTAAATGAAATCTATGTGGCATTAGCACAGTCAATTACGATTTACTGTATTACCTTATGGGGAGGTGCACTAAAGACCAAATTTCTAGAAGTTGAGTTTATCGTTATTAAAAGTAATGTATTTTAAAAAAGGAGATTCCCAACTCAGAGTCTATATTTGAATGCAGACTTACTTACAGTTAGAAAGCTTTACATACTATACCTTGTTTTAAAAAAACATAAGTCTATTACATACAACTCTGATAATGTAGCTAAAAGAACTAAAGGTAAAGTAGCCCAGATAAATTATGTTCACACACGGTTTGCTAAACACCAATTCTCCTACTTGTCTTCCCAAATTTACAATAAAATAAATAAAACATTACAAATATACCCAATGACATCAAGGGAATGTAAAAAAGAACTCACCGTATGGCTGAAGTGTCTGGACTATAACGAGACTGAAGAAATCCTAAAATCATGTCCATAAACAATTCTTTGTTTTAGTTATTTTGTGTACGCTACCCTTTCTCTCTCTCTCTCTCTCTCACACACACACACACACACACACACACACACACACACACACACACACACACACACACACACACACACACGCACACGCACACACACACGCACACACACACACACACACACACACACACACACACACACACGCACACGCACACGCACACGCACACGCACGCACGCACGCACGCACGCACGCACGCACGCACATTTTTGTTAAGGAAGAGTGGCTCCCTCTGGCACAGGTGCTTCTGTACCTAATAGAGGAAGTCGACACTTAAATTTTAGAAAAAAAAACTGAAGCGAATAAACATCTATTTTTTTATTTATTATTTTTATATAGACGGATTTGCAATATTCATTTTTTGTTCGTAACAATTCGTTGCTTTTTATTGTCATAAATTATACAGGATGGCTTTTATA